TTTGATTCCCAGAATCCCATATGGTTCCCTGAGCACCGCCAGGAGCAATTCCTGAGTGTATGAGCCAGAAGTAACCCCTGAGCATCGCCGGGTGTGACCCAAAAAGAAAAAAAAAAGGAGGTAGCTCAAAGCTCTGGATCTGACTGCCTACCTTGAGAAACCCCAGATTCTGGGGGTGGAAGGAGGGAAACTGGGAACATCGTTGGTGGGAAATGTGCATCAGTGAAGAAACAGGTGTTGGAACACTGTATGACTGAAATCCAGTCATGGGCAACTTTGTGACTGTGCATTTCATGGTGATTTTTTTTTAAAATTTTAAACAAAGAAAAAAGAAAGACAGCAAATCCAGATTCTATCCCCAGCACACTTGGTCCTCTGTTCCCCGGGAGCAGCATGTTGCTCCACGCTGGGAACAGCCCCTGTGTACTGCCTCAATATTTAAAATATCAAAGAAGAACACAAGTGGAAAATGCATGCGATCCAGCAATAAAGCTCTGAGGAGGAATTTGCCAACAAACATGAAAACACTCATTCCAAAGGCGATTTGTTTCCTATGGTCATAGCCGCATGACTCATGAGAGCCAAAGCATGGACCCAATCTAAACGTCCATCGTAGATGGCTGGATAAAGAACTTATGGTTTCTACACTCAAACGCAGCTCAATTAAAAGCTGTTTTTGAAAAAATGCAATTTTGCCTCCCATGCAAACATGGATGGAATGTGAGGTGAGGAGAGTCAGTGAAATGAGTCAGGAAGTGAAAGACAATTACCAGATGGTTTCATTCATATGTGGGATAGAAATAGCCAAAGCAAGCAGACCGGTAATATGCAACTAAAATAACTCTTAAAAATATGGGGCAGGGCAAGAAAATGGTGGGGCGGAGAACCAGCACTCAATCTTCAGTGCTGAGTGGTTCCTTGAGCACCCTGGAGTGCAACCCCAAGCACAGTCAGGAGTAGCCCCCAAGCACTGTTAGTGTGACCCTTCCCCCCCCCAAAACAAACAAACAAAAAAAATAATTCCTAAAAATTCAGAAGAAAAAATATTAAATGCTCCATTGTAAATTCTTGCCTATGGACAGGTAAGTAAAGTAAGTAAAGGCCCTCCCGTTGATCATTGATTTGCTCGAGCGGGCCCAGTAACGTCTCCATTGGAGACTTTGTTGTTACTGTGTTTGGCATATCGAATACATCACGGGTGGCTTGCCAGGCTCTGCCGCGCGGGCGAGATACTCTCAGTAGCTTGCCGGGCTCTCTGAGAGGGGCGGAAGAATCGAACTCGGGTTGGCCATGTTGGCTGCGTGCAAGGCAAACACCCTACCGCTGTGCTATCATTCCAGCCCATGGACAGGTAATCCTCAGAAAAATAAACCAGCATATTTAGTAATCACTGTTAAAAGTTCGGGTTCACTGTTTTTCAAGCCATTTCTTTGCCTGTCGAGTGGATGAAAATGTAAAATTCTGCCATCAGTTTGTGAATCTGTGAAATAATGGGAAGGAAAAGAAAAACTCTGGGAATAGACATCACAGAAGGACCGGTAAATAGCACACTCTTTTTCACAGAAGATTGTGCAGCTATTAAAATGAACTTGTGCCAGGGGTGTTTTCTGGAGGCATTTGCAAACTCTCAGCCTAGACAGAGGGGATGAGAGAGCGTCATAGGGCAGAACTGGAAAGCAAAAACTCTTCACAGTTGGAGATGCTTGTCATAAGGGCATAAAAATACATGTATGGGTGTGAAACTCCATATTTATTCAGATTACCTAGAGGTCAAAGGCATGAATGAAAAGAGGGGCGAGATCTACACAGGAGCCCTCACTTTTATTGTTTTTTATTCTGCTGAAAAAAAAAAATTCTAAAGCAGGGGCCGGGAGACAGGACAGTGGTTAGGGATCATGTCTAGCTTGCACCTGACATGGGTTTGATTCCCAGCCCCACATGGATCTACAGGGCCCGAGAGGCATCACATCCTAGGACCCTTGCATTGAATTAGAGACTTGGCTGCCCAAGAATAGATGCTTCCCCAGGCCTCCTAAGTACTGCTCGAGAGTTCGAAGGACCGAAATCCTCAATAAAATGGCTATCTCATGTTGGTTGAAATGTCCAAAGTTGCTATTATTATTATTATTATTATTATTATTATTATTGGTGGGAGACACACCCAAAGGTGTCCAGGTCTTCCTTCTGCCTCTGAGCTCAGGGATCTCTTCTGACAGGGCTCAGGGCACCATCTGCATTGACCAGGGTCAGCTGTGCACAAGGCAAGCATCTGACCCATTGTACTATTGCTGCAAAGTTCACGGCCAGGAGTCTGGGGCATGTTTTAGTGGGTGGGGATCCAAAAGGCATCCCTGGCAACGCGTACTTTGTCCTATGTCCGGCTCTAGTGCCCCCGCTCAGGGACACAGGGACAGGTCAGCTTCTCCATGAGTACTTGCTGAACAAACACAGAGGCACAGGAGTCAAGGCGTGTTAGAACAAGGTGTGTTCTCCATGATCTAACCGCACTAATAGCCACCGTCTCTGGAACCAGCCACCACTGTTTGGTGTGATTATCTCACATTGTCCTTGAGACAATGGGTAGGACCATTATTATCTTCTCTCTGCAGGAGAAGGAGCAGGGTTGGAGACGGAGAAGGAGACACCTTCCCCAAGAGTAGAGTCCGTGTTGCATCACCCAAAAAGGGGGAAAAAAAAAAAGGTTTTAGGCTGTAGGTAGCTGTGGATTTTGGAGCAGTGGAAATAAGTAAGACAGGATCGGATCAAGGAGCTGGCCATATAGAAAGCCCATAAACACCTCTGTGCCCTAATGGGAGGCCAGATTGGAAACAGAGGGGACCCAGTGCCTCCTAGCCTCAGAGCCCTAAGAGTGTGAATCAGGGAAGGCTTTCTTGGGAGAAGTATTTGAACTTGACCTTGAAGGGGAAATGCACCTACAAATGCCAGGAACCCTTTTGTGTGTGTGTGTGTCGTGGTGTGTGTGTGTGGGGGGGGGTGTCATGCTCAGGGCTTACTCCTGGCTCTGTGCCCAGAGATCATTTCCAGAGGGCTCAGGAGACTCTTGGAAACGATGGCTAGTCAAGTGCCCTGCCCATGGAATGGCCGCTCCAGTCCTGGGAACCCAAGTCTCGCTCTACATCTGGAGTCGTTCAGGGACTTCAGTCCACAGGGCGAGACCACCCACAGGTAGAGATGCGCTGGTTTGCATATAACTTTGGGTTTGAGAAAGTTTGTTCTCACCTTTATATACACAGAGAAAAATACAGCCAACTCACAGCTCTTCTTTAGAAACCATGATGGAAGGACTAATTGTTTGCCCTTTAATAATCATAGCAAACATTTATTAAGGGGCCAGAGAGTTAGGACAATGGATAAGCTGCTTGCCTGGCAGGAGGCTGACCTGGCTTTGATCCCTGGAACCTACCCACTATCCCCTCGAGCACCTCCAGGAGTCAGTCACCCCAAAGCCAGGAGTAAGCTCTGAGCATTGGTAGACACATACCCAAAAAACAAACCCCCAGAACAAAATAAAACAAAACAAAAACCATTTCTTAAGCATTTGCTATATGCAGGGCTCTGGGCTAAGTCATCACAAGCGTTATTGCCTTTAATTCTCACAACCACTCTTGAAGGAAGGTATTATTTACCCCTTTCCAGGGAGGAGGAAGCAGGTTTAGAGCATTTAAGTGTCTTTCCAGAGTCCTACGCAGTTAGTAAGTGATGGCGCTGGGATGGGAGCCCACAGTTGTCAACTCCCAACCCTGCATTTTAATCACTGCTTCTCACAAGCAAAGACGTTCAATTAGAGCAATAAGGGTTTTATTGCTTTCAATTGGAAGAATAAATAGGACCATGATCGAGCATAATAAACTAGAAACCAAACTTGTCATTATATTCATGAGCACCTGTCACATGTGAGTGTCCATAAATGCTTGCAAAGTGAGGAAGCATTTAGTGCCAGGAAATGAAAGCGACCCAGTGCCCACATCATCTAGGTAGGAAGCAGTGGAAAGTCCCACTGGGGCATGCAGGCCAGTGGGTCACAGTGCAAGGTGTGTCCCCGGGCCTGTGGAGCCCCCCCATTGCCCCCTCCCCTCTGGCCTCACATGCTGGTGGTGGGTGGGTGTTCATTCCCTCTGCCAACCTTGTCTCTGGAGAATGTCCCTTTCCTGGTCCCTGCCTGCCCCTGCCCCTAGGGCTCTCCCCTGAGGGATGGCCACGTGAAACACATGTTTCTTGACCAGTATCTTGAGCCCATGGGTCAGAGACACAGAGCTGAGAACATAGTACACAAAGGAAAGGTCGGAAAGAATTCTGGAGGGTGGGGGGCTGGAAGACAGTTGCAGGGGCTGAAGCGCATGCGTGTGGGGGCGGTGCTTAACTGCCCCCCCCCCCAGCCACAAACCAAAAGAAATAACTAGAAGTGTGTAGAGAAAACAATTCATAGTCATGCTCCTGATCCTCAGGAAAAGCCACCACCACGCAGATTTTCTTTCCTTTATTTTTGGGGGCTATACAGACGACGCTCAGGGGCTTTACTCCTGGCTCTGCACTCACGAATCACCCCTGGAAGTGCTCTGCGGATCGAATGGGATGGGGGAGATTAAACCTAGGTGAGCTGGTGCGCGGCAAGTGCCCGACCTTCTTGTACTGTGTATCTGTACTCTGTACCTGTGTATCTCCTAGCCCCAACAGTTGGATTCTGAAGCCACGACATGGATCCTTATTTTCATTTCATGCTTTATTCGCTGGCTTCACAAACAGGTACCAGAGAAGGACAGACCTCCGCGAGGGGGCTCCCAGCAGATGCACCAAACACACGATGGGCAGGCAAGGCAAAACCGGCTCAAGATTTACAAGAGGAAAGCTAAACGCAGGGCTTTGGGGATGGGGGAGAGGGAAGGAGGGCTGGAGGAAGGGAGAAGGGAGATCGAGGGCCCCGGGTTGGGTGGGTTCGCAGGAGCCCGGTGCGTTCCCCGCGCCGCGGCCTTCCCGAGCACTCAAATGAGAGCTCTCTCTCGCAGGAGTTTTCGGAAGAGGCAGCCCACTTTGACCATAGCAAACACAATGATCCCGGTGATGAGGGCCTGGGAGACCCAAAGCAGGAAATAGAGAGCAAAGAACAGGCTCTGGCCTTGACTTTCCCCCGTGGCCACGCGCTGGGCCCAGCCCCAGGGTTCCGAAGGGTTCAGCCCGGGAGCGGGGGTGCTGGTGGCCGCAGCAGGCGGGGTCGACGGGGAGGGGGCGGAAGTGGGGGCCGGGGTTGGGGCGGAGGTGGGGACCGGGGTCGGGGCGGAGGTGGGTGCGGGGGTCGGGGCGGAGGTGGGCGCGGGGGTCCGGGCGGAGGTGGCGGGGGCGGCAGCGCTGGGGGTGAGCGTCTCGGGAGACGGTGTATCCGGGGAACAGGAGGCCGCGTCCAGGTCCGACAGGGCCCCGAGCTCCAGGCCGGCCCTCAGAGCGGGGCTTTGGCACCGCGGGGGCTCGGTTCGGCCCACGAGGTGCGGGTGCTGCCGCAGCCAGGCCAGGAAGGGCCACAGGTCACAGTCGCAGTGCCAGGGGTTGTGGCCCAGCAGGACCTCCTGCAGCCGGGGGAGCGCGCGGAACGCGTCGCCGGGCAGCGCGCGCAGCTGGTTGTGCTGGAGTCGCAGCTCCTCCAGGCTGCTGAGGTCCAGGAGCAACGCGCGGGGCAGGACGCGCAGCTGGTTGTGGTCCAGCCGCAGCAGGCGCAGGCGGTCCAGGCCGCGCAGCAGCCCGGCGGGCAGCTCGGCCAGGCGGCCGGCGTGCAGGGCGAGCAGCTGGAGGCCGCGCAGGCCGCGGAAGACGGCGGCGGGCAGCGTGCGCAGCTGCGTGCCGTTCAGCCACAGCTCCTGCAGGTCCGGCACGTCTCCGAACAGCACGTCGGGGAGCCCCTGCAGCGGGTTGTCGGACAGGCCCAGGCACGTCAGGCTGCGCGTGTGCAAGAAGAGCCCGGCCGGCAGGGACTCCAGCTGGTTCCTCCCCAGCGTGAGGTTGCGCAGGCTGCCGAGCTGGTGGAAGGCGCCGGGAGGCACGGCCCCGAGGCGGTTGCCGTGGAGGTACAGTCCCCGCAGGAGGTGCAGCCTCTGGAACTGCCCGGCCTCCAGGGAGAGCAGCTGGTTGGAGTGGAGCACCAGCCTCTCGAGCTGAAGCAGCGCCCCGAAGAGCCCCGCGGGCAGGTGCGTCAGGCCGTTCCGGGACAGATCCAAGGAGCGCAGGTTGCCCAGACGCGCGAAGAGCTTCTCGGGAAGGGACGTGAGTCGATTGTTGTTCAGAAAGAGCTCGCGCAGGTTCACCAGCTTCCCGAACGCGTCTTGGTGGAGGCTCTGCAGCTGGTTGAGGTCCAGGTACAGCTGCTCCAGGAGCACCAGCGGGTCCAGGAGCGCGCGCGGCAGCTGCGTGAGCCCGTCGCGCGACAGGCGCAGGGTCTTGAGTTTGCGGAGGTCGTCGAAGGTGCCGGGGGCGATGCTGGCGATGGGGCTGTCGGACAGGATCATGCGCTGCAGCACCGTCATGCCGCGGAAGCTGTGGCTGTGCAGGACGCCCGGGCTCAGGCGGTAGAGCACGAGGTGCGTGAGGTTGGTGGGCAGGTGCAGCGCGGGGATGCTCGCCACGCTGCCCCGCGAGCACTGCGCCGCGTCGCGGAAGGGGCACACACAGGCCGCGGGGCAGGGGAAGGGCTGAGCGCGCACGAGCCCCAGCAGCGCGTAGAGCAGCGCGCCCCGCAGCATGACCCGCGCCGAGCCTGCAGGACGACACGGAAGGACACTCGGTGGAGCCCGCAGCGCTGCAGAGGCACTTCACTGCCAGGACGGCCAGAGCGGCCGGGCCCTGCATGCCTGGTCTAGTTCTTTCCTTGGACCGGTGGTCTGAGGCACTGAAATGACGCCCCCTTTCTCTCCTTCCTCCTCCCTCCCGGCCCCTTCTCTTTTTCTCCTTCCCTTCTCTACTCTTCTTTTCTCCTCTCCCTGGCTCCGTGCTCAGGGAACTTTCCTGGTGGGGTACCCCCAGCCAGCCACAAGTGCCCGACCTGCGGTGCCATTGCTCAGGCCGCAAGGAGACCATTTCCACGCACAGGTACGTAAAAGCAAAATAGATTCAGGCAATGAATTCTTTCCATTGCCATCATGATTTATCGTTGTATCAAGTTACTCTACGATGATCAGGGGCTGGGGCTAGGCAATAGAGCATTTGCCTTGCAGGTTTGCGGCCCTTGGTTCTATTCCTGTCACCACTGGGGAAAAGAAAAGTTTCTAGGGTTTAGCGCCAGAACAATAAATATCCAATAAATTAAAAAACTTTTTCCCCCCAAAAACAAATAACAAAAAGGATCACCCCGTGGGGCAGGAGCAATAGTACAGCAGGAAGGGCATTTGTCTTGCATGTAGGCTGACCTGGGTGTGATCCCTGGCACCCCACATGGTCACCTCAGTCCCTGAGGAGTAACTCCTGAATACAGAGTCCTGTGGTTCCCAAACAAAACAAAACAAAGACCGCCTCAGATAATCAAGATAGTGGTAAAATCAGTCATATCACTATCACTTCACAACTTGCTTTGTTCTTAGCACTTGATTTGAGTCAATCCCCATATCCTCACAATAAGCCTGTCACTTGGTCTCTGTCCTCCCATTGTTCATCGATTTGCTCGAGCCAGCCCATAACGTCTCCATCGTGAGACTTGTTGTTACTGTGTTTTGGCATATGGAATACTTCATGGGGAGCTTGCCAGGCTTTCCAGAGGGGCGGAGGAATCGAACTTGGGTTGGCCATGTTGACTGCAAAAGCCCTATCCGCTTTGCTATCGCTACAGCACAATAAGCCTAGGATATTTAAATCAATCACCTTAATGCTCACGATAATAAAATTATTATTACTGTCCCCATTTAAAGGATGTGAAAACTCAGGCACACCCAAAGTTAAGTGCCTTCACTGGGATCCCACCTCTAGAATTTGATAGTATTGCTGCTGGGGTGAAAAATCAGGAGCTATCTTTTCATTAAAATTACCACTCCAGGCACTGTATTATTTAGGAAATACGCATTTTAATATTAGGTGAGCACAAGGTATTCGAAGTGTGGTTAAAATTTTTTTTTCTTGCGTCATTTTTATTTTCATGCACACAAAGACCCCCGAGCCCTCCTATCTTATCTGTACGAATTTTCAAAATATTCAGCCTTACCTGGAAAATGGTGCAGCACCCTTAAACAATGGCAAGACTCGTCTGTGAAAGCTTTGCCTATGATTTTGCACTATTCGAAGGAAGAGGGACCTCTCATTGCATCCTGATGATAAAGAGTTTATACCAGGGCAGAGTCATGAAAGAACTTATCTTAAAGGGCAAATTCTAGCTTTTGGTGTTTTATTTTTAAATTGGCACCCCCTCCCCTTTTGAAGTATCTTCAAATGGGAGAAAATACTATATATAAAAGTTATTTGAGAAAGCCAATAATTATAATAACAAATGAGAGATCAGTGCTCCCCAAAAGGTGTCATAGAATTGAAAGATTACCATATATAAAAGTATGCCAGAAAGTTAATAACAAAAGGGAGGGAAATTTCTCCATAAATGGTATAAAGTGACTCAAGTGTAGTCACATGATTGGATCTCAAAGCAGTTGCACCGCTGGATGGGCACACCACCTCTGGCTTCTCCTTTCCAGCCTTATTACCCCAGTTGTCTACACCAATTCTTCCCGCCTCCTTCAGGAATGAGACTAAAAATAGGAGCCAGATAGATGGTACAGCGGGGAAGGTGCTTCCCTTGCATGCAGTTAATGTGGGTTCCATATCCAGCACCCCGTGGTCCCTTGAGCCTTGCTAAGAGTGATCCCTGAGCGCAGAGCAGGGGTAAGCCCTGAACACCACTAATGTGGCCCAACTGCCCTATGCCCCCCAAACTTAAAAGCATTCTCAAATATGTTCAATATTTGCTGGGTTGAAGGGTGGTTGACATGTTCACTTTCGCTTAGGAACGTCAAATGGTTTCCCAAGGTAATATACTGATGCGTGCAAGCACTGCTGGGTCCAATGCTTCAATTCTTGTCATTCACATGAAACCCTTTCGTGGCTCATGTTTCTCATTTCCCTGCTTAATGGAATGGTATTTCTTCTCAAGGGTTCCTTGTGCTTCTTTTGAGAAGAGTATGTTTCTCATCTTTTGAGAAACATAGGTTCTTTTTGGTCCATATTTCTGCAAGTGAAACATATACACACATCAATGAGTTTTTGTTTTGGGGCCACACCCAGTGAAGCTCAGGAATTACTAACTGGAGGGTGTCAGGGCATCATATGTGGTGCTGGGGATCGAACCCAGGTTTGGGATCCCCCCCCAGAAAGTACAGCTGCGTACAAGGCAAGTGCCTTCCCACTGTACTATCCCTTCAGCCTTCATCTACGGTTTTTTAAAATGAGTTGTAGGCATTCTTTGTATGTTTTGGGGTACAAATTCTGTATTGGGGATAGGTAGTACAAGTAAATTCAGCTAGTTTGTAGTTTGTGTTTTCACTTTTTTTATGTCTTACAAACAGCTCTTAATGTAGGCAGTTACTCATACTTTCGTTGTTGCTAAAATCTTTAATGCATGCCACCTGCTGTGTCTAACGTCAGGAAAAACTGCTATCATTTGGTCCTGTCTTCAGTTGATCTAGCTTGTACTTTTATATGACACACATATACGACATACTTGAAATACAGATCTGCAAATCCCTTCATCCCTCACAACTACAGTGATGAAAACTAACCTCTTATAAGTACTTGGGTCTTTTTCTGGGCTCTATTTGATAGTTTCTACACCAATGCTGAGCAAGTAACCTTCAATCTTTAGAGCTTGAAATAACTTAGCGTTTTAGGAAAAGTGAAGAAATCGACAAACTTTTACACCATCAGTAGGTATATAAATTGGGGCAAACTTTATATTGGAGAAAATTTAGTAGTTATATCCAAATTCAGGGAGGGCCAGGTATATGCTTCCTATATATACCCTGAGGACTTGAGTTTAATCTCTAGCAATCCATGCATTTAAAATATACAAATATACATAACCTGGCTGGCGCCACAGAACAGCAGACAGGGCGCTTGCTTTGCACACAGCTGACCCAGGTTCCATCACCCCATGTCATCCCCCAAACCCCATCAGGACTAATGCCTGTGTGCAGAACCAGGAGGAAGACCTGAGAACCTCAGGTGTGGCCCTAAATCCAAGATATTAAAAATAAAATATATAAACTTTGCCCAGGCAGTCCACTATGGATATATGGATATGCATATTAAAGATATGCGCATAAAAGCACTTATTGCAGGATTGCTCACAATAGAAAAGAGATGAAAACCCTATGAGCTTCAGCAGGAGAGCAGGCATTTAAGTTCCTGTGCACCTCTGCATTAGATGCCTTGCAGGCTTTAAACATGAAGTCGGGCTGGAGAGATAGCACAGTATACCTGCGTTTGCCTGGCACGCGGCTGACCCTGGTTTGATTCCCGCATGCCATATGGCCCCCGGAACACCGCCAGGAGTAATTTCTGAGTGAATGAGCCAGGAGTAACCCTGTTCATCGCCGGGTGTGACCCCAAAAGTGAAAATTAAAAAAAAAACAAAAACAAAGTTGAGGCTTTTCCCACTCTGAAGAAGCCTGTGTTGTCTCTTGAACACGTCTCTTTCCCCTCACATTTCTCTACATGTCTCTTTCCCCTCACATTTCTCCAAGTAAATTTCTTTCAATAAAACTTTTACTTCATTAGAAAAGTGGAGGGATAGAACAGGGGTTAAGGCACTCGCCTTGCATGAGGCCAAGCCTGGTTCCACCCCAGCAGTACATCTGGACCCCTGAGCACAGAGACAAGAGGAAGTTCAGAGCAGTATCCAAAATCAACCGAAAGGAGAGGACTGGGGAGATAGCTAACAGGCAGGGGCCCAGGTCTGACCCCACCACCATCCACTCCTCCCCCCGCCCACAGACCCAGGAGTATCCCTCAGCATTCAGACATGGCCCCAAATCCCCCCCCAAAAGTACAGCTGCCAAGTACTGACTTCACTTTGTAAGGGTAACTGAAAGCCTTAAGACTGGAGCACCCTCAAATATAAATGAGATTGATTTTTTTAAAAAAAGTAGGATATACACATACTAGGGTTTTTCCCCCCTTCTATTTCTTTTTCTAGAATGATAAACCCAAGAAACTAATTTTCATCTGTAGGAGGAAAACAATAGCACAGCGGGTAGGGCATTCGCCTTACAAACGGCCAACATGGCCAACCCGAGTTCGATTCCTCCGCCCCTCTCGGAGAGCCCAGCAAGCTACCGAGAGTATTCGATATGCCAGACACAGTAACAACAAAGTCTCCAATGGAGACGTTACTGGGCCCGCTCGAGCAAATCGACGATCAACGGGAGGGCCTTTACCTTACCTTACCTTAGGAGGAAAACCCCAAAAATACTTGTTTCTTTGTGTGCGTGTGTGTGGGGGGGGGAGGGGGTGGTGGTAAATCTTTACTAAACATCCATGTATTCATATATTTTTTAAATCTTAAGAGCTACTTTGTATTTTTGGTTGTTGTTGAATCACAGTGACATGTATTAATCTTTAATGCAAAATTAGAAAAACTGGTATCCTCTACAAAACTGCTGGGACTACAGCATTTTTAAACTAGTGGGGAGGTAATGCAACAGACTAGAGCACGTGCTTTGCATTGGGGAGGACAGGTTTGTTTCCCAGAACTGCATAGCTCCCCCAAGTACTGCTGGGATGGTTCCCGAAATGAAACCAAAAATACTGGGAAGGGTCAAGAGATAGTATAGTGGGTAAGGTGTTTGCTTTGCATGTGTCTGACTCCAGGATGATCCTTGAGCAGAGCCAGGAGTAGCCTGTGAGCACTACTGGGTGTGGTCCCAATACCACAGCACAACAGGGTACAGAAAGGGAAGGGAGGGGGGAAATGGCATATGGTACTTTAAAAAAAATGCTCGAAGAATCTTGAATTGTGCAAGAACAGACATCAAACTGTGGAATTTTTTAGTACAGCTGCATAGAAGTGGTATTACCTTATCCTGGTTAGGAACCAAGTTCCCCTATCCATAACATTTGTGGGCGCTGTAGAAAAGGCAATGAAATCCAATCTACCTTTGACGTCGCCAAAAGTGGTCAGAGTGCAGTAAATGCTATAAATGCTATGCTGACTCCAAGTCCTAATCCACAGGGAAAGCCACCCTTTCTGGCAAGGAGTGCGGAGTGTCCTTTGACAAGTCAAGGAAGCAACTTCAGGACCAAAGAGCCTGCTGAGCCAGTGTGTCCACCTGCATAAGCCAAAGGAAGGGCCCTGCGCCCACACCACAGTGGAACCAACAGGAGAGATGGCCCTATCTCCCCTAGAAGTTACCTCTGAGTTGTACCTGAGAGTAGGACATTAAAAAAAAAAAGTCTGAGTTTAAACTGCAGTGGAGAAACACAGGTTATTCCCACTGAACGAACTGGGAGGTGCTGAGAACCAGAGCAATGACATTCTAGCCTTGTCCTGTGGATTTTGGATCCAAGGTATAGGTCTGAAATCTGCTAGCCTAAGGAGTTGGAAAAATCAGAGGGCTTGCCTTGCATGTCAGTGTGCTGGGTTCAATCCCCGGAACCGGTAATCCCTGAATCTGCAAGGATTGATCCCCAAGAAGCAAGCGCCAGGAGTTAAGCCCCGAGCACTACTTGCGCCGTCTACCCTACCCATACCTCCTCCACCCCTTCCAAGGAAGACCGGCTAACCAAAGTTTCTGTATGTCCCAGGAGTCTGGCCATGTAGGAGCAGTGGTCTGGGCTGACGCCAGAGTTCCAGTGGATTGAGTGTTTCCCTTGCACAGGCCCAAGCCGGGCTCAATCCCAGGCACGATGAAAGTGCCAGGAGTAAACAGTGCAAGCCGGGAGTAAGCCCTGAGCACTACTGGGTGTGCCCCCAACCCCCAAATAAATAAAAGCCATGGTCTGGTTACCCCCACCTTGTGGAAGTCAGGAGGCCGGGGTACAGCAGGGACATCTCTACAGTTCCACAACTCCAAGCCTCAACAGGGATGACTCAAACTCTGGAACTCTACTCTGCAAATACACTCGGGACAAAGTTCCTGGGAGTGACTACACGAGCAGGCTATGGGGCCGTGATCGTGGGGGAAAGCCCTTACATCCTCACAGCCTGCTTCCCCTCCAACCCCCACAGTGCCTGCAGCCCCCAGCAGAGGGGGTCTGCCTCCTGGAGAGTATGCAGGGCCAGGAAGCAGCAAGCAGAGACCTGACCCAATTGCCCCTCCTCTGGGATTTCTGCATCCAGGAACAGTTCCGAAGTCCCTCTCTTTGGTGTGCTCCATTCTGTAGGCATGGATGCCACTTCCCTTCGAAGTACTTTTACTTTACCATAAGCTTTTAGTCTGAGCTTCCCAAGTATAAATAGATCCAAAGATCCTACTCCTGCACTTCACCATTACCCTCAAGCGTCCCTCAAGACGGCTTCCCTTAGAGTTAACATCTGACACACTTAACACTTTCTGACTGGTGCATTTCCCTGGTGTGGTGAGAGGTGTGATACCACATGCAGATTTTTTTTTAAACTGTAGAAAAATAAATCCAGAGAAGACTGTATTCCTGTATTTTACAAGGCAAATGTATACAGAAACATGTTATTTCATTCATTTTTATTCTGAATAGCTTCAATCAAAAAATTTTCATCAGGCTATTTACAGTACTATATGTACAACTATGAATGTGTATGCCTTTTTGACATCAGGGTACCATTCTTGAGCAGCAATACAATTTTAAAAATATAAAGATGCATTATTTCTGATATAAAGTTACTTTAAAAAATCCAAAATTTTTAGGGGATTCACAAATCATAACAGGAAGTAAATGTTTTATTAATATGTGCACATAATTACCAAATTTCAATACATTAAAAATTTGTGTAAATGCCCATAACTGTACAAAAATGAACACCCTGAATTTCTTATTAAAAAGTTCCCAACCACCTCCCACCATTAATACAAAAAAACCCTTGTTTTCGGATGTCAAAAATGCATGCCAAAAAATCTTAAGAATGTTTTCTGAAAGCTTGAATTTTTGCTCTTCCCAGGAGAGTGTCTCTACTTTGGGAGACAGGGAATTTAACCAATGCTGTATTATTTACCATGCCTTTGAACTGTGCAGTCATCAACATGGAAAACTAAATAGACTAAAACCTGCAACAGTCTTGTTCAAATGCAAGTGCAATTTGGAAAGCTTCTGGATGTAAGGATTATAAAACTAATATAAAAAAAGTATTTTTTTTTTGTTGCTGGCTTAGCCACTTTTATTCAAGCATTATTTGCAGCATTGCTTTACAGCAGTTGGTGCTAGAAGATACAAAACATAGAGTTACCACTATTTATAATTGAGGGAGAAACAAAACTTTAAACAACCCTGAGGGAGACACACATTAAAAATTCTGTTATTTATTTAAAAAGTTAAAAAGTTACATACCATTATTTAACAATTACTTTCCTGGACATTTCTGTCCTTTAAGTATGTGCATAAATAAAATTAAAATCAGCAATATTTATTAATCTTAATACATCAAAATAATATATGTACAGATATTAAAAATTTTAGGTCTGTATACACTCAAATAATTTAATGTGACGTTCAAAATCAAAAGGACTATGTAATAATGACCTAGAGGGAGGACTCAGTCTATCTATGGCACTAAGACCCACATCTAGATTCACAGACGGTCTTCAAATAACACTCTGGAAACCATCAATTACAACTTAATCCAACTTGCCTATGTTCATATATAACTTCCTACAATCCTTTCCACCTACTAAAAACATCATTCCTTGGGAAACAATATGGACAGATGAGATATAAAACCCTTATAAAAATCTAAATGTTAAAAAATGGGGAAGGGTGTCAAAAATAGAATTCTTTATGATCATGCTCTTAATAAGGATGTTACATACAATCTGGTAATTACGTTTTTAAGCTGCTACTTAGCAATTATATGCTACAGTATTAAAATCAAATGACAAAATGTACAATTCTGGGATATCAATGAAAAGTGACACACATGGAGAAAATGAGAATGAAATTATAAAAGGACCAAGAAATTAAGTAATTAGAAAACAGTGCTAATTCACAGCTCAAGAGGTCTAAGATGCATAGCTTCATAGAATCATTCATGGAACAATTGTTCTTATCATCTATGTATTAATATCATATAATACTTTTTTGATGAAAATCCGATTATATTTTTGTAAGAATCATCAGTGGCAATAGCAGGAACAGTGACCCTGAGTTCATTTACATTTTTCTATGGTTGCCAAACATCCTTCAGGTCTCTGCAGCATAAAACATAGGAACCAACTGGTTCTAGAGTTCTGGGTAATATTTGATAAACTGGTAGATAAAAATTAGGAAAATAATGATTGGCTAGAGTGAAAAGTGCAAGCAAGCTACTGGTTAAGAACACAGGATAGAATCACATCATTTTAGTAGTATAGTGTCCATTTTACAGCAGTATCAGGACCTGTATTTATGACTAGTTTTTGCCAAAATGCTGATCTTTTTAAAATCACCTATGATTTTAATTTAGGATTTAAGCATTAACCAAGCAAAGCAGAAAGATGAAATTTTTTTCTACATTGCTTTAGGCTCAATGAGTATCTATACTTTATTATTTTATTGTTTTTTCCTTTGCAGAAGTTTCTACACCCAAATGTTAACCATCCTATCCACAAGCAAGCGCTGGCCACTGGCGCCATCTAACGGCATCAAAAAAAAAAGTCTAAGTTCATACAGCTTTAAATAAATAAAAGTCAAAACCACTCCTTTCAAACTTCATTGATAGAAGAAACATACATCAAACCTTAAAAAAATTTTAGAGGAGGCGAAAGTCAAAAAAAAAAAGCCAACAATTAGCCTATGTCTTTTGGTAACTGAAAATGTAGGAGAAAACAAGACATTTAAAATAATATAAAACCTGAGAGAAAACAAAACAGGCATGAAGAGATATTAGGAAGGTAGATCTACATCTACTACTGCCCAAAATGATTGTTTCTCTAATCCCTCCTCCCTACCCCAGTAAAAAAAGGTCCTACAACATTAACTGAAGCAAATTATACTAATGACGCCAGACATAACAGAAGCTCATTTAATAGTTCAGAGGGACATCTCATGTAGGCAGTTAAGCACCTTGCTGATTAGAAAAGTAACACCCAGGCATTTTGTATTGAAAATGTAAAACTATAAATGGAAATTACCTGAGTTGTTCGAGAAGCAATACCATAAAACCTTCTAGGCTACTAATGGGAACCGATGTGTATGAATATGTAATTCTTTGGAAGAAATATTGGAATAATGGAAACAGGCTTTCTACCTGCTTTCACTGGAGGCTGATTAACTTGCATTTTATTTTTCAACTGCAGATTTAGGGTCTATGAATGAGGGCTTTTTCTAATTAGAGGGGTTATGAAAATAAACTTAATGAGTAAGCTAAGTCTTAAAATCTAAAGTCTAGAAAGTTACCATATGTTAACTTTCTTCTGCACCCAGTCACAGAGGATAACTAAAAGAAAAAAGAATTTCCAGAAATATATATAGAGAACTCAAAAGTGATTTTTTTTTAACTTATGGGCCAGTGTCTTCCTATTGTTGTTTTTAAAAAAGCCCTCAATTCAGCTCCCATATCAGAAGGGACAAAAGTAAAAATGGTACCATTATGATACACAGGGTAAGAAAGTACTAAAATTACTTTCTCAATACTGCTAGCTATTTGCATACCACTGAGATGGACTCATTGCTATGTTATGGTGATGATTTGACGTGATCCATTCTCCTTTACTAAAGCTTTAGCTTCTGTTGTTGTCTGAGGTTTGGGTGGCCATTCTGGATCAACCAATAGCTCCTGAGCCAGATACATGTATTTTGCCTTTGGTATCTTCTTCCTACAGCCCAGGACCCAAGACAAGCAGCATTTTCCCCACCGATCCACAGACTCCTAAGAAAATGAAAGGAAAAAAGAACTGTTACAGTTGATTAATTTTTACCATGAATATTAAAACACAGAACACCAGAAGAGGAAATGCTTTCAAAAGACAAATAAAAAAATATTTTAGATCAAGTTAAAAAGAAAATCAATTTTCAATTATGCAGAAACATTTTTAAGGAAAGTTTTATATATCAATGTAATTCATTTTGGTAAATACATTAAAAACCCGTACTAATAATTTTTAAGCTATTCAGAAAGAGGAAACATTCTTAATATTTAATGTAAAAACGATCATATTCTTTCCCAACTGGTCCTACCAACCTAATAACTACTTTTGGAAAAAAGTCATGTTAAATTATTGTCACTGTTAATATCACCTTTCAAAACAGGAAGCACAATGTAGAATTGATTGGAATTATGACTCAGATCATATGCAATGCCAATCACATACTTCAAAACCACATTCTTGTTACCATCAAAAAATTTGATTTTAAAATTATGGTTCCCATATGGTGCTCCAAAATTATAAAGATATCACAGAAAAAAGCAGTATTTTACTTAGGATCATTTAATTCATTATAAAAACTTGTCACTGCCACCTTCCTATCAATCCGGATGTCTTTTATGAATATGACCTTATATGAATCTCAGAGAACAAGATGGCAGAGTCCCCAGTTATTGCACAAAATATAAACTGGACAGAGTCCATCCGATTTTGTCTAAAATGACACCTGATATAAATAATAAAGCTAAGTAACAATAACAAGACCCACAGTTATATTTAATTGTGAAGAACCATTCATTCTTAATTGTTTTGGCTATTTCTCTGAGGTACAATTTAAATTTATTTTTGTCACATATAACCTAGACAAAATTGGTCAAATGTTAACTAACATACTGAAATGAAAGCATAACATAACTGAGATTGGTATTTTAACCCAGCTGGTATATTACCCCAAATATCTTAATGACTGAGAAAGTCAAGTTTTCTGTAACATATTTTTCAAGCATGTTTTGTAAGTGATTATGGAGACGAACAAAAATTCTTTGAATGTTAAATGTTCTCTTAGTATTGAGACAACCACCAGGAATTTACTATTCTTTCCTTCCCCAAAAACTGTGGAGTAGGTATCTGGAAGCAAGGAGAGCAGACTGAACAATGACCATGTACTTGGTCAATGAAGAACAGAAAATTGCACTGCAAGAATTTTGTGACAAACTATGGTCACAATGAAGATAATTTTAGAGCTTCTTTACTGTCATCATTTTTTAAAAAGTCTACTTCTCTCAGATACAGAAGAGACTTGATACTTTCTTCAGGTAATTCAAGTAACAATTTCTTTCCACTGTAAGCATGTATACATGATGATCTGAAATGGTGACTACTTGGAACTCTCCTTCCTGCCAACCACTCCTCCCCTCACCCCCTGCAAATGTTTAGGTTGTTAAATCCAATTGTGGAAAAGATCGATGTTCCTAAATCAGTCTAAAAGCCATCTTTAAAAATTTTAAGAAGCATGATTAAATGATGCCAGAAAAGGGCCAATAATGATTACTTCGAGGGGAAGGGGAGTTAAAAAGGAACCTATAGATCTATAGAGCTTAGGTCTTTTATGTCCACATAAGCTAGCAGGATTGGCAGGCTGATTTAAGCAAACAGGCAAGAGGATACAACTATAAGGCACATACATACGTACCTAAGCCCACAACCAGTGAAGACAATGAAATTAATTAAATTATTTTAAAAAATCAACACAGTGTATGACTTTTTACATCAAGATATTTTCTTAAAACTCTATTGAAAGGAATGTGTATCTGTTAACAATTTTAAAAGTTTAAAGAAACCTTGAGAACTCCCCCATCTTCATTTTAATTAGACATAAATTTTGTTCTTGTACCCTCACATTCCAAGTATCACACGCAACAGATACCATGTGCTGAAAAAGTCTTGTTAGTTTACAAACAAGCATACATGCACAGTTACTATAAACTTAACCAATAGAGAAAATCAGATGCCATAGGCATGCAGGTTTAAGAAGCAAATCCAAGGGGAAAAAATGAGGGTGGCAGCAAGAGAAAAGCAAGCACTGGGCCCCGAGCCATAGTACAGCAGGTAAGATGTTTGACATGCTCACAGCTGACCAAGATTCCATTCTCAGCACTCCATATGGGGGGATCCCCAAGCCACACCAGGAATGATCCCTGAGTCAGGGCCAGGAGTAAAGCCCTGAGCATAACCAGGTGTGGCCCCAAATTGAAATTTAAAAAAAAGTGAAAAAAAAAACACAAAACAAACAAGCACTGTGCAAACAAAGTGACGAGGTGGAATATCTCAAGGGCTATCCTAGATAGGAACTGGGTCTCCTCAAACATCCAGACAAGTTCCTGAAGCAGAAGAATGCTGTAGTCATAGCAATTGGTTCGCTTCTGAAAGCAAAGGTTAACCAGTCTATGTATCTCTCCGAGAATGGGAAGAAGTCACATTTCAGCAAAGAATCCACAAGAAATTTCCCAGAAGATCTACAGCAGGGCTGTAGAAATAGTACAGGGCTTAACACACTTGCCTTCCATACAGTCAACCAGTTTGATTCTCGGCACTGTATATGGTACCCCAAAGCATAGCCTAGAGTGACCCCTAGCACAGAGTCAGGAGTAAGCCCTGAGCCATGCAAAATGTGGTCCTCCCCAAAAGCAAAACATCTGTAACTTAAATTCTCCTGCTTTTTAGACCATTCCAAGCTGTTCATTCTCAGTCCCCAAGCCAGTTTACTCATAGCAGTAAGTTTTAAAAAAACCATCATCACTGGCATAAAGACTCATTCATGGTTTTATTTTTTCATTCTTTTCCTGGTCAGAGAATACCAGGAGTGGCTAAAAATTACTGTAGCACTGTCCTCCTGTTGTTCATTATTTGCTCCAATGGGCCCAGTATTATCTCCATTGTGAGACTTGTTGTTACCATTTTTGGCATACCGAATATGTCACGGGTAGCTTGCCAGGCTTTGCCGTGCGAGCCAGAGACTCTTGGTAGCTTGCTGGGCTCTCCAGGAGGGGCAGAGGAATCAAACCTGGGCTGACCAGGTCGGCCTCGTGCAAGGCAAATGCCCTACCCACTGTGCTATGTTTTAACTGATTATTTGTGAATTTTCTAAACCCATTTTCAATTTTATTCAATGGATATTTACTAAGGCCACTGAACAGCAATGAGTCACCACAGAAAATAAATATTAATGAAAAAAATTCATTAATAAGGGACAGGGGAGTCGAACTCGGGTCGGCCACGTACAAGGCAAATGCCCTACCTGCTGTGCCATTGCTCCAGCCCAAGACCTGATGGTATGAATCAAAATTAACTTTTTGAAGTAATGAGGTGAAGTAACCAAATGGAAACAAATCTAGACATACAGGAAACTTAAGTAAAGAATTTGACCCCTTAATAGAGCTCTGGGCATACCACTACTAGGAATTACTGGGCATTAATATTGCTTTCCCCTACCTTCTACCCCCCCAGCCCCCCCCCCCGCCCAAATACCCAAAACACCTGAAACTGAGTCTAAGTTAATTCCATCATTATAAAACTATCCCAATTGATTACAAACATGAAAGGGGAAAAGTGCTCTAAAGGACCTCTTATAGAGTGACCATGATTATTACACTGGGCATGAAGCCTACTGAATTACCAAGATTAAACTCAGGCACTTGCTATTTAAGTTTTTAAAAGGCTTAAAATAAATGAGTGACCCAACTCAAGAGTATCAGGGAAAACTTTTGAACTCTGTAAGCTCCCCTGTGGCTCAAGATGAATGAAAGGTTCACTAAAAATAACAGAAAAGATAAAAATGGAGAGTGCTTTCATTTAATTCCCTTTGTCTACAACTGTAATTTCAAAGATTTAACAAATTTAAGAATGTGTGTGTTTGGGGGCCACGCCTGGCGGTATTGAAGGCTTACTCCTAACTCTGCTCTCACGGATGACTCCTGGCAGTGATCAGGGCACCATATGGGATGCTGAGGATAGAACCCAGGTTGGCCATGTGCAAGGCAAGTGCCTTACCTGCTGTACTATCGCTGCTTCTAAACTGTGTTTTTAATCAGGGTCTATATCACAACATCCTAACATCAGGAAATGGATATGTACACACACACACACACACACACACACACACACACACACACACACACACACACATACAATATCGGTTCCTTTTTTTTAACCATAAAACTTATCTCATAACGAGATTTCTTAATGGATTCAAAGTGAAAAATCCTGTCGTGATTTGATAAAAATGAAAACTGTAATAAAATATCTCTAAATGATGAAAGATTTATCTTGTATAAAGTAAAAAAAGTCATCCAAAATTACTGCACAGTGAATACTGACAAGAAGTCAGAAATAAGTCCCTAACATCCTGATTTTCTGATTCTGATCCATGCTGAAACAATTTTGCGTGATTCACAAAAAACAAAATCACAAAATTCAAATCAGACCAAAACCAAAACAAAACAAAAAAAGGTGGGGAGAGACACAAACACCCATCATTAAAAATAAGATCCTTACTTAGGTAGAAGACAAGGATTGGACTGGAAAGAGACTTGCGAAGCACAGGGGAAATGATCAAAAAAAACATACAACAGAACACCACTCAAGAGAGTGCAGAGTATACAACGGAGTCTAGACAGAGTGAAGAATCAAGAGTAAGTGCTGATTTCCAACCTGTGGTGGCTGTGTGGTGGTGAAGCGATATTCTCCTTGTCTGTCCCGATTGAACACAACTTTCCAAAGGATCATGTCAAGGAAGAAGTTCTGAGAGATATTTCAGTGAGTTAAGAATTAAAAATGACTAAGTCATTCTTTATTACTGTGCATAATTAGAAAGGCTCACACAATGCTGAAACATTAGTGAAAAATGATTTGGTTTCCGCATGCAGTAGTCCCCTGAACAGATATTAACCATGGAACAGATATTCCCAGTGGCTGCCTTAAACTGGATCATACCCATATGTGTGTGTATACTCATACACATATTTCCTTAAAAATTATCTGATTATTCAAAATTATACCTTATGAAAGCCTTAGTAGACTCTTTATGAATATTCACTACACGATATGAATATTTCCCCCATCCTTTCTTTCTTATATACAGTAAAATTAAGAAATTTTTACTTAGGAAAAATTAGTAGCATTTCTTAATTTTACTGTATACAGAAGGACTCCAAGGATATACATTCCTGATTTTATAGCGTTTGGGTTTAGCCAATCTTGGTCTGATTAGCCTAAGAATCAATCTTCTCTCCATTCTACCAAACACTTTTGCTATCACATACATAGTTTCTCCTATGTATAATAAAATGCGGCTAAATCACACACCTTAATTAATGACCTTAAGTACTAGCTGAGATGTCAGAATAGATCTTTGTTCAGATCAATGAATTTAACTAAAACTGAACTTTTAAAGGTTTCCATGTTACCTGTCCTCATCCCCCATTTCCATTAAATCACCAACAGTAGACAGTTATCTGAGGAGCTTACCTCTACCATGATAGATACAAGGGCATTTACAAAAACAATGATGAGCATAGTTACACGCCACTGATATGGGACACACACTATCTGTAAGGGGAAAAAAATAAGTTAAAATTGTAGTATGTAGGTGATACTTTAACATTATATCAAAATTCCAAATTTACTGAATTTCTATTATATACCAAGCAGACACATATATGTATGTATATACATATATAGATTTTAAAAATCTATTCAATCCTCAACAATGCCACATGGTATGATTATCATATCTACTTTTCAAATGATAAAACTCAAACTGCTAAATAACTCAGGTTAAATAAAATACATTAAAGGAATAAAAATGTGGGTTCAGCAGTAAAACACAAGCTGTTCATGTGGAGGATCTGGGCTCAATCCTTAGTACCTTTAAAAGAGAAAAACAAAAAACAAATGCACATTTGGTCTCAATCTCCAGTTCCTAAAATTACTGTAATTTCCTAAGTGATGGGGCGATAGGAGCACCTCACATAGCACTTCTAAATACACTGGAATTTTCTGGGTATCAGGAGTGGCTTTTGTAAGGAGACAACTCTTGGTAGGCTCCTGGATCACTTTAGGCTGGGGACAGTGACCGGAAAGACTGAGCCATGATTAAAAGCTTGGAATTTTTAGCCCCATCTCTTCTCCGTCCTATGCGGAAGGGAAAGGGGGCTACAGTTCATAGTAAGTGATCATGCCTAGAAGATGAAGCTTCCTTTAAATGAACTCTAAACTACAAAGTTCAGAGTTCAGGAGTTGTTTGACATGTTGCAATTCATTGCAAGATACTACTCAGCTGGTGTCCAGAAAGTCAAAACGCGATGGCACGGGTAATGTCAGCAATGTGAGTAAAGCAAACAATAGGTTCTTTCGGGCAGCAAGTGGTGTTGGAGTAAGAAACAGATTCAGATAAGAAAACAGCAACAGAAAACAGACTGGAGTGATAGTACAGCAGGTGGGGCATTTGCCTTGCATGCAGCAGACCCAGGTTCGATCCCCCAGCATCCCATATCGTCCCCTGAGCAGTGCCAGGAGGAATTTCTCAAGACAAAAACTGGAGTAACCCCTGAGTACTGCTGGGTGTGGCCCCAAAACAAAGCAAAGAAAAAATTTTAGAAATAAGCTTAAAAAAAAAAAGACAGAGTGGCTATGAAGAGATAAGGATATAGACACATACACTCTTATGCCTCTGATCTGTACAAATGAGAATGAATACCAACAAAGAGAGAGACAAAGCAAGGCTGAGGAAGAATTGAGCCTCATTATAAAAATGCTGAAAGATCTCAAGCATACAATGTTTCAACACCAATCCCTTCACCAGTGTTTACTTCCCTGGCGAGGAATATGGGTACTCTGATAGTGAGTATGGTGTTAGAATGATGTACCCATGAAACCACCATTAACATTTCTGTCAATCACAGTACCGCTCCAATCAATATAATTTTTTTTTTTAATCAGAGGGTCCAGTATGGGTAAAGTGCTTGCCCATACATGCCCAGTCCAGGTTCAATCCCTACCATCACATATAGTATCCAAGCCCCACCAGGAGTTATCCCTGAGTGCAGAGTCATGAGTAAGCCCTTAGCATCATGGGGTATACCCCTGCATGACCCCCATCCTACCCCCCCCCCACACACACAAAGGAAAAAGGTAAAACTAAAATCAAAAAGTTGATAAAGACACTTTTAATTACTTTTATTACTGTATCTATATAAATATGCCTTTGAGAAAAATAGTAAGAGACTTAGAGGAGGGAAAAACAGGTAGTTTCTTTCTCAATTACTGAGGGAGATGGATCTTAAGCTCTAACAAGCCGTAAGAAGTCTAACTTGGCTGTGTAAATTTCATGTAATAATAATGGGTCAATTCTAATCACTGTCTTCCTACTGCTATTTCACACACAGTTTCCCCTCAGCCAGTAATAACAGATGTGCCTAATTAATCCTTACCTGAAGAACCTCGTCAACGGCGTCAACTGGATACAACATGATGAATAATGTAAAAACATACAAAATAATCACAGATGCAACAAAAAAATCTGAAAAAGTAGAACAATAAAATTTCAAGTTTCTTTAAATCAAAAAGCAGCGTAACAACAGGTATCCAGACAATTCTAAATTTGATTCTGAATATGATACAAAGTACTTCATTATTTCCTACACAGAACACTGAGACGTCTCACAAAAGATTCAGTTATGTGATGTGAAAAATATCAGCATTTATTAAAAATACAAAACACATTTATGGGTTTTTATTTCTCTGAGAAAATCATCTTATGATTTTCAATATTAGTGAGTCTATATTAAACCATATATGGCAAAGAATCACTGAAAGCAAATATACAATGATTATTGATTATCAATAAGTAGAATAACATTCTATGAATGGGTGTACGCAATTGAGGCATTCTAAATTGAGTATTAAGAATATTTCTACCGGGATGGAGATGAAGCACACTGATAAAGCACATAAAAGGGTGGGTGGTGGGTAGTGGGTGTTATATTTCATCTGTGAAAATATTCTACTATTTTAAAAATGGAAAAACCGGGGATGGAGTGATAGCACGGTGGGTAGGGCACTTGCCTTTCATGTGGCCAACCCGGGTTCAATTCCCAGCATCCCATATGGTCCCTCCACCAATGACTTACAGCCTCAGCACTGCAAAGACTCTTTCAGATTTAACTCTTTTCTGTATCTTTTATTAAAGGTAAACAAGGTAGAAATCACAATAAATGCCAAACTTACAATTCTTGTAGCAAGGCTGCCTGAAGGGTTTTCCTTTAGAAAAAGCAACTGCCACTATGAGGTACTGAAAACTGGAGATAAAAAACACTGTGGTGTTTTCATAATTTTGTATATTATGTGTATCAAGTTCAGTTTCATTGTAGAAATGTGAAGAATTCAGTCGTATATTTCCTGTTGTATTACAAGCACTAAAACACACACAAGAGTTTTATGTTACTGAGCACATTTACCAAAAAAAAAAAAAACACGACTATATCGTAAAGTGCCGTGAATCATAAAGAGAAACAAGGTACCATTAACAGCAAAAGATATAACAATGTCAAGGTAAGATATACAGAGTGAGCAACAGAGTAAGGGGTTTTTACTTGTCTTTGGACACCCCTCCCCCAATTTTTCTTAAAAAAAAATTAAAGCGAGTTAACTTCATTAATAACCTCCTCTCACTTACGATGTGCTTCCCTCACTTTTAAATTCAGGGCATTATTTTTGCAAAGCAAACATATCTTCAACTTGTCTGCATTTTAGTTATAATTAAGGGAGAAATATCTTAAGCTCATTTCATGCCGCATAAATGTGGATACCTTCTGTTTTATCAGAGTTTCTGTAAGGAATAAGTTAGACAATGTGCATAAACATGTCTAGCAAAGCATGTACAAGGCCTTCAAACCTCTCTAACTATGGCTCTCTCTCATTTCTACTTCTAAGTGGACAGGACTGTCAAGCATACATAGAATTAAACATCATTACAGCATTAACTCTATTAAGCTTAGGCAAGTGTTAACAAAATTTTAACCTGTTACAAACTCTGGAAAATTTCTGCAGAACAATTTTATTTATTCCTTTACATGTTTCTATGTATATGTACATATACATATATATGTAATATATGCAAACAGCATTGTATATTCCCTTCAAGCTTTCTAACAATTTTAGAAACAAATAATCTCTCTCAAGTAAGAAAATAAATTTTAAGGGCTGGAGTGATAATAAGGCGAGCAGGGTGCTTGCTTTGCGCAAGGTAAACCCGAGTTTGATTCCCGGGACTCCATGTGGTCCCCTGAGCATCGCCAGGAATGATTCTTGAATGCAGAACCAGGAATAGCCCCCTGAGCATCAATATGTGTAGCCCAAAAACAGGAAAAGAAAAAAAGAAAATTTTAAAATACTAATAATGTTTGCAACCGTCTCCTTCGTGCAAAATTCTACTTCACAGAGCAGGGAGAAAGGGCTGCAAAGTTTAAAAAGAGAACTCCCAGAACGACCACCAACTGGGAGCTCTTTGGCACTATTGCGGCAACATGGGAAGATGTCATTGTTGACAACATTGACGAGGAATACGATCGACTGGTTCAGCACCTCCATGGTTGTGAGAGAAACACCAAGAGAGAGATAGCCACAAAAAAAGCCTGTCTTCGAAAACTCTGAGCTTATTCGCCAACGTGGTTTGGCGCATGCCTCAAGCAACCGCAAGCGAATGTCCAAGCTCGCAAAGCAGTACAGAGATGCGATCAAGGAAGACCTCAAAGAGAGAAGAGCAGAAGTGCTGATAGATGCTGCAGAAGCCGGGAAAAGTATTCGTAACGCCCGCCTGTCCTTCGCCAACTACAAGACCAAGATGACTGCCCTCCGACGTCCTGATGGAGGACGACGTCACATCCTCCAGAACAGCAATGGAGAAGATTATCCATGACTTCTACTCAAATCTCTTCGATAGCCATGTCCACTTGCCGACATACCAAATTCCACAGGATGGATATGTCGATCCCAACATACTCCCTTCCGAAATCCGACACGCCATTTCGTCAGTAAAGAAACGAACAGCACCCGGCCCAGACAAGGACAGACCTGAACACCTGAAGAACCTGCCGTCAATACTCATCAATACACTGGCTCGGCTCTTCACTCGCTACCTGTCTGAATGCAAGGTTCCATCCCAATGGAAAACCAGCAGGACCGTACTACTGTTCAAGAAGGGAGACATCCATGACATTGGCAACTATCACCCGATCTGCCTATTGTCTGTCATCTACAAGTTGTTCACTCGAGTCATCCTAAATAGGACTGGCAGAACACTAGATGAAGGACAACCATGCGAGCAAGTCGGGTTCCGCAAAGGATTCAGCACCATCGACCATATCCACACAATAACCAAGCTCATTGAGGTTTCTTGGGAGTTCAAGATGCCACTCTGTTTAACGTTCATTGATTTAAAGAAGGCCTTTGATTCTGTTGAGACGGAAGCGGTCACTGAAGCCGTAGCCAATCAGGGCATTCAAGCTCAATACATCAAGATCCTCCGTGAGCTGTACTGCGGATTCATTACCAAGATCTCACCATTCTACAAAGAAGTGATCGTTGATGTCAAGAGAGGGGTTCAGCAGGGTGATACCATTTCACCGAAACTCTTCAGTGCCACCCTCTAGAACATCATGCGATGACTGGAATGGGAAGGAATGGGAGTGAAGATAGATGGTCGGCAACTACACCACCTCCGCTTTGCTGATGACATTGTTGTAATAACACCAAATATCAGCCAAGCGGCACAAATGCTGGCCGACTTTGACCGTGAGTGTGGAAAGGTAGGACTACAGTTGAATCTTATGAAGACAATGTTTATGAGAAACAGCCTCGTTCCTGACACCCCTTTTGCTCTCAACAGAACGACCATCTCCGAATGCAACAGCTATGTGTACCTAGGTCGAGAAGTCAACATGACAAATGACCTGGCATCCGAGCTGCGCAGGAGGAAGAGAGCAGCTTGGAACGCTTTCAAGAACGTCGAAGAAATAGCTAAGAGGATGAAGAACCTCCAGCTCCGGGCACATCTCTTTGATTCCACTGTTCTTCCTGCATTAACATTTGCCTCAGAGACCTGGGCCCTACGTAAACAGGATGAGAATGCTATTTGGGTCTCCCAAAGAGGAATTGAAAGAGCTATGCTTGGAATATCACGTTTCACTCAAATGAGAGAAAGAATCCGGAGTTCCGACATCCGTCGATGATCAAGAATCAGGGACGCTGTCTTGTTTGCCAAGGTGTCGAAAATCAGATGGGCTGGTCACGTAATGAGATTTAAAGACGACCGCTGGACTAGAGCTGTTGCCGACTGGATCCCACGGGATGTCAAAAGACCGCGTGGCCACCCACCTACCAGATGGTCAGACTTCTTCATCAAGATCATGAACGATCGGTTTGAGGCTCTTCATGTTCCCAGAGTGAACGGATGCCATTGGGTTACACTAGCACGCGACAGGGACAAATGGAGACGTTACTGGCACCCGCTCGAGCAAATCGACGACTAACGGGAAGTTAAGTGATTAAGTTAAGTTTGCAACCTAAAGTTGAAAAAAGTATCTTTCTTAGTTTACAAAAAACCTAAAGAGTAATTTAAACATTCTCATTTTACAGATAAGGAAAGGAATCTCAGTAGCAAATTAAGCAATAGTTACAATATTCCCATTTTGGTATTATTAAGACCATGTCTGCCCATCTTCCTACAAATAAGAAAGCAGTCAAAAAGTAGGCTTATCAGATAGAGAAGAGAACACCAAATAAAGGGTGTTGTGAGGACCCTCCCAGGGTGGGAGAAGCATGTTAAAAGTAGTCTATAGATCAAACATGATTGCCACTCAATGCCTCTCGTGCAAAACACAGTACCCAAAAGAAGAGAGAGAGAACAAGGGGGAATACCCTGCCACAGAGGCAGGGTGGGATGGGGAGGATGGGGGGTGGGGGGATGCTGGGACCCGTGGTGGTGGAGGATGGGCACTGGTGAAGGGATGGGTACTTGATCACTGTATAACTGAAACCCAAGCACAAAATTTGAAAGTCTGTAACTGTACCTCATGGTGTTTCACTAATAAAAAAAGAAAAAAAAAAGTAGGCTTAACTTTTTAAGTTTTTAGTCAAACTTCACGCACGTTTTACATAAAATCTTAGGCTTATTCTTACATGCAGTATATGCAACATACAGTTTTTAAAGGGTTTGACCAACTTACTCTGATTGTGGATGCCATACTTCATACCAAGGTTGTTGCTTGACCCAAAAGAATCCGAAAGATTGAAATCCAATGCAGATGATGATCTGAGACAAAACGGAGAAAAGAAGGGCCCCAGATATGAGACCTGAGGGCGGCCTCTGAGCCACAAGCTCCTTCCAGGCATGATTTAAACTCACTATGTTGAGAAGAAAAAAAAAATTATTTTACCCAAATTGATTTGTTACTATATAAAGATAAAATCATATTCATCAGGTACATCATATACTTATCTTGGTCTAATAAATACATGTTTTTTCTAATTAGCTAATTTTAATTCTGTAATTTTTTTTACTGAAGGCACCATAGTTTACAAAATTATTCATGGTTGAATTTCAGGCATACAATGTTTCAACACAAATCTTAATCATTGTCAACTTCCCTCCAAAATTGTCCCCGGTCTCCACACTCCGCAGCCTGCTTCTATAATGAGAACTGTTTTTTTTAAAGACACTGTCTAATAAATATTTAATATAAAGCATAACCAAAAATTAAGCTAGATATCATACATGTGAATAATCTGTAAAGTAATACAGAATTTAAAAAATGGCTAAAAAGTTAATTTTCCATCACCTTATTGAAAATCAAAGAAAAAGAATATTACTAATATAAGCAATGAAATTAAAAAATCACCTCCACCCATCTATGTTCAAGTTTTTATTTCTGAATCTTTACTTGCAGATTAAAAATACAATTAAAAAAACTACATATTTCTTCAGATATTAAAAGGTTTCAAATAATATCAAAACAGCAGTAACATTAAAAAAAATCAAATACTCTGATCACTTAAGCTTATTAACCTTCTAGTTTCAATTTTTTCCTTTGGTAATGAGATATGTTAATAGATACCAAGACTGGAAGCTAGAGATAGTACAGCATGTAAGGTGCTTGTCTTTGCGTAACAGCTGACCTGAGTTGAATCACCCCATAAGCTCCCCCTCAGTACCACCGGGAATGATCCCTGAGTGCAGAGCCAGGATTAAGTCTGAGCACTGATGGGTGTGGTCCCAAAACCAAAATAAAAAAGCTAAAATTTATTCTCTCCTACTATGATGGAGCCTTAAAATAAAGGACTACTTCTGGTAATCCAGGTAAGAATTTATAGCTTATACTTAATGGAATATAATTTAATGACGAGCCAATATAACTGCCCTATTCTTTTATAAAGGTTGAAGAAGACTCCCCCTAAAAGGCTGGCATGCTACTCAGATTAGAGAAAATTAAAAAGATGTAACAAAATTAAATGTGTGAAACTGAACTGGTTCCTAGGCTAGGGAACGAAGAATAAAGAACACTGATAGGATAACTAAGATAAAAAACTGAGTAACGGCTGTGGAATAATGATACTATAATAAATTTTCTGATTTCTAGAACAGTGTTTACTAATATAAATACATTGTTTTTAGAAAATACATAATAAAATATTCAGGGCAAAGGGACATAGTAACACAAAATCATCATCAAGTATTTTAGGAAAAAAGAACAAAACTGAAAAGAAGTGGAGCAAAACATAAAAGTGCTAATGAAAGAACATTTACAGGACAGTTACAAAAGCATCGCTGTGCTGCAGCTGTTGGTATAAATTTATCCAACTTTAATAATTTACATCAAGTCTCATATGCTCTTAAAAAATAAAGTAAAAATACTTACTTGTAAATACCACTACCAAAATGATTGCCAGATCAATGAAGAGAAACTGGAAGTCTCCCAGGTTACTTAAGATCTGCAAAATTTTTGTAGTTAATTTTTATAATACATGTCAATATGTTTCCCCAATTTTACAATATGCCCCAGTAATGACAACTTTAAAGTAATATTTGGATCTGTTTAAAAATGGAATATATTTGCCTTTGAAATGAGCCCAGTGAAAAACTCAAGTCCCTCTCTCCCTTTCTTCACCCAACTCTGTATTTCCCCTCCTTGTCCCTCTACAACTGCCCAATTCTTAAATTTATTTTTTTAAATAAAAGATTCTAACTTATAATATTCAAAGGTCCTAAAAGTTAAAAAAAACTCTTTTGGGGGGTGTCATAACTGAGCCTCAGGAGTTATTTCTGGTGGTGCTTGGGGGACCACATGGGATACCAGGAATTGAACCCGGGTTGGCCACATGCAAGGCCAACACCCTACCTGCTGTACTATTGCTCCAGCCTCTTAAAAAGAAAAAAAAACAACAACAACAAAACCTCTTGATTTGTCCTCAATATCTAATACCATACTTTCCCAATACTTGGTACAAGTATTAGAGGGAGATGGGATAGCCTTTACAAAGACTCCTTAGGACATCACCAATGACCATTGGACAAAAAGTTAGAGCCTTGCCACTCAAAAATCTGAAGAGGTATCAATGGACCCAATTTTATACTGTCCAAGTATTTTTTTTTAAAAAGAAGCCAATTTATTTTATTTCTTTTCTTTTTGGGGTCACACCCAGCAATGCTCAGGGATTACTCCTGGCTTTGCACTCAGGAATTACTCCTGGCAGTGCTTGGGGGACCATATGGGATGCTGGGGATCGAACCCGGGTCGGCCACATGCAAGGCAAATGCCCTACCCGCTGTGCTATCGCTCAATCCCTATACTATCCAAGTATTTAAGATCCTACAGTACTGCCAGAACATCTTCTCTCACTCTGGCCCTTTTCCACAAATGTATAGCAAACTGAAACTACAGATACTGATGTATGTCACAGGTTGGTATTTTCAGGATACCTAAGAAAAATGTCGAATCTGTGTTAAAGCGAAAAAGGGAGAGGGAAATATCTTAGTCAAAAAAGCTTTCAGCTTTTGGCCTTAAGGAAAAGGTTATTTCACATTATTGAAATTTTCAATCTGCTACTACAGAAAAGTTTATACAGATGCCACCTGTATAAATTTCAAATTAATAGATGCACTCAAAATCCAACAAATATTGGCAATTTCAATGTGAATGTTTTAACACCAAATGCCATTTCTGTAAGCAATGTAAGTACTCACGGAATACAGTAGAGTAACACTGAAGTACTGTATAATGCTGTACAGTGCCATAAATTTAAATACACAGAAGGAAGTCATTAAAGCAGCACGACCTTCCCTGTGAAAACAAATGTTGGTGTGTAAATGAAAAGCTTTTAAACTACTCCAAACCACAATAGCAAATAAACATCAATATTCAACAGGTACACAAAAGGAATTTTCTACAAAGAACTGAATAATAGTATCAACTTAAGAGGAAGTTTCAGGTGAAATATACTATAAAAATATATATAAATAAATAATTTATTATATCCAAATTAGAGCAAGCCACAAAGAGATGTAACAATTTTCAATCTGTACTACCTGATGAGATTTGGCACACAGGAAATACTAGGTGTTTTAGAGGTAAAGGGAGATGCCACTGAAGCCTCGAGCTCTGACAGGGAAATGCCTCCATGTGCCCTCTTCAAAGCCTAATGGTTTAAAAAAGAAAAACGTTCAGGTTTTGCGCATATGACTTAGGGTAGAGAAAGAAGCACAAATTACAAAAATTATACTTACACCACAATCATTTGCTCCATCACCGCACATCCCAACAAAGTAACTAAAAAACAGAATATGTATTAAGATATTTAATGATTTTCTCCAATCAGAGCATTTAACATAAGATTTCTCCAATAAGTACTGTGAAGTGCTAACACACCAGTATTCCCAATGATTACAATGGTTGCTCTGCAAATAGAGTCAGATGACCTAGATTATTGTCTTATAACACAACAGTCTGTCGTAAGGAAAGTAGATTACTCATTTTTTCATCTGTTTCAAGAGATCAAGAGCAAAAGATACGGGAGAGGATATAGTCTTTACTATACTTCCCACAGGTTATCAAAAAAGTTTTTCTTTTATTATAAAAGTTCAAAAATAGGACCTGAAACCATAAAGGAGGTAGACACCTGCGATACATACTGTCAACCTAGGTTCAATCTCCAGCACCACTTATGATTCCCCCAACAGTGCCTGAGGTCGCCCTTGACCACTAACTGGGCATGGTTCTAACTTCTCCCCCCAAATTTGAGGCAATAATTTACTAAAATATATACTTACTTCCACAAAATGAGTGAATGAACTCTACATGTATATTATTAGAAACATAACTGTGGATAGTGTCACCAGGAAACTTGAGCATGAGTCTGGGGGCACTTAATACTACCATCAACATTACAGATTAGTGGCACTGCTGTTGGAATATTAAATGCCTCTAACAAATCATCATGAACACTTTTGTAAACCAATATTTAAATAAAGTGTGTGTGTGTGGGGGGGGGGGGGGGTAACGCATTTCCAGGAAAGGTATTTCTGGAATATGTATTACATAAAATCTTATGTCATCCAAGAAAGTTTCACTGCCAAAATTATATTTATAAAAAAGCTGTAAATCAGCTATACTTACTCTACATTTTGCAATGCTTCTACTAATTGTGTCTTCTGGTCAGGGGCCATACGAGCAAATACTGTGCCATGCAACATCAACTGGAAAAACAATGAATTTCTTTAAAATACAGTTAACAATGTACGTAATTAAACATACACATAAGAACAAATTACTAACCTTAGGAACAAGATCTTGAAAATGTTCCAGGATCACAGAAAATGATTTTCCATTCATTGCAAAATGATAGCGTGTTACCTGAAGATCCTCTAAGCTATCATGGACAAATTTAACTGGAATACCCTGTGTATGAGACATTCACAACAATATTTAGACAGTCCAATAAAGTATAAGTAATACCATTTTCTTTTAAATTATGTGGTCAGGGAGCCAAATGACTAATACAACAGGTAGAGAGCCTGCCTTGCATGTGTCAACCAGGTTTGATCCCCAGCAGCCCATATGGGCTGAAGGTGGTATTTCCTGAGTGCAGAGCAAGGAGTAAACCCCCGAGCAGCACCAAGTGTGGTCCAAACCCTCCCTCAAAATAAATAAAATAGAGCAAGAGTGCACAAAGTTCACAGCTCTAGCTGTGAATGTACACTTGTAATCATATGGCCCTTCAAGCACTGCCAGGAATAATCCCTGAACTAAGCCAGGAATAGCCCAAGCACACACCCCAAGCACACACAGCTACAGTCCCAAAACAAACAAACGAACAGTTTAATTATTTCCTTTGCCATTTCAGACACTGAAAGTTTTAATATACACTGACAAAAGAGAGGAATTCAATGTCAATCTGTAACTTTATTTTTTTTTTGTTTTTAATATTTTCTTCTTTTTCTAATTAGTGAAACACCATGAGGAACAGTGATAGACTTACAAATTTTTGTGCTTGGGTTTCAGTTATACAGTGATCAAGTACCCATCCCTCCCACCCTCCCATCCCCCCCTGCCTCTGTGGCAGGGCATTCCCTCCCTCCCTCCCTCTCTCCCTCTTTCTTTCTTTCTCTCCTCTCTCTCTCTCTCTCTCTCCCTCCCCCCCATTCTGGGAGCATCCTCCCAACACCCTTTATTTGGTGCTCCCTCCTCTTTTGAAAGAAAAAAAAAACTAGTTGGGAGTGGAGAGGATACCTGTCTTAATTAGGCTGACCCCAGTTCAATCACTAGCATCATATATGGTTCCCTGGGCACCACCTTAAGTAATGATCCCTGAGCACAGGGTCAGGACTAAGTCCTGAACACAGCGGATGTGGCCCCAAAACACAAACCAAAGAAAGTTGAGGGGGGCCAGAGTGAATGTACAAGTGTTAAGGTTCATATTTTGCATGATGACAACTCCAGTTCATTCTGGACCTGGTACCACATGGTCCCCCGAGTATTGCAGGGTCTAGTAGTGGAACCCCTGGAGCATCACCAAGGTGGCCCCAGGTGGTAATCCAGGGAAGATCAGGGTTCAAGCAACAGCATATTCTCAGGTTCAGGCATTGAACCACCAGACCAACTGGGTGAGAATTGCTGGGAGACTCCAGGCTCCACAACTAAGTATCAAACGAAAATATTCCACTATATGAACTATTTATACCATTACTACTTTTAAAATGGGAAATGTTTGGGATTCTTAACTTTTAAAACAGTGCTTCTCAATTTTGGCTACAGATCAAAATTAATTAAAGGTACAGGAACTACCCCAGTCCAAATGAATCAAAATCCCTGCGTGTCTTCATTTGTTTTTCTTATTTTGTTTCAGACATCCCTTTTTACTGTTTAGCAAGCTTCCAAGAAGAAAGTTTATCTTTACCTCTGAGTCAATTGCTGATGAATTATTGATCTGTGCTAGGGTGTCTGCATAATGCCAATTTATCTTGGCAACTTTTCCATCCTTTGGAGGTAATGCTTCAGCAATAATAACTTTATCTTGAGGTAGTATCATCCCACAGTCTCTGGCCACAGAGACAGCAGTCAACATGTTGTCACCTAATTTTCAAAACATTAAAAATACACTCAAATTAAAGTGAAAACAAGAATGTGCACAGTACCATGTTTTCTTATTAAGAACCTATAACAGTTCTTTTGACTAAGCTGGGCAAAATGAAGATCTAATGTATGATCCCTGATTTCACAGTCTAAAAACAATGAGATCAGGATATATTCATCAGAGTAAACCTCAAGAAGTACATTCAAGCACACAGATGCTAAAGTTATTGTCACCCATAGTTTTAAAATGTACATTTCTGGAGCCAGAGGGACAGTACAGAGGTTAGGTGCTTGCCTACCACTTTGCTGACCCCCAGTTTGGTACCACAGATGGTATCTGGCACCACTAAGAGAGATCCCAGCCACAGAGCCAGGAATAAGCCCTGAGCACAACCAGGTGTGGCCAAACCTTCCCCCCAAATAGAGCACATTCTCAATCACTTTATGAACTAGCTGTACACACTCAACTCGTGACATAGTGCCACATACAAGACAGGTTTATAGTAAGTATCCCTTGAAATAAATCATCAGGGGTGACTGGTGATTTATGTAAGAATACTAAGGCAACATCATTGGGAAAAAGAGGGTGGGGAATAAGATTATACAAATGAGAAGCACATAACTAGAAAACATCTTTTTGAGGTGTGAAGCAAAGTAAGACAGACAACTTCTCAGTAATGAGAAGGAAAGAGAAACTGCAAAGACAGTATCAAGAGAAAAAATATAAACTTATAGAAGATGCAGGCAAAGGTTTGAGAAACCCAATGCTACCGGCACTAACAGTAAGTTACTTTTTGCCCCAATTCCTCATACTATTTCTCAGGATGATTGACTTCCTTTGATCAGACAGACCTGCTTGGGACACAGTTGTGAGAGAAAAAGATGGGAAAGAAACACAGATGGAAAGCACTTTGAAGAAGTCATTAGAATCAAGACTTGCTGGAATGCTAATATGCCTCATTACTTAAGTTATATGGAAGCAAGCATCCTGTCTGATGAATCTGAAAGTCTAAAACATATTCTACATAGGCCTTTTCAATATAAATCTTACTGAATATATAAGTAGAAAGTATCTTAAATCTATTTTCTAAGGAAAATAAATGTTTAGCTGATACAATTTGACACAAACACAATGAGGAAATTACCTAATATTATCTATTATATTAATAGTAATTTTTAATACTAAGAGAATCATGTAGACGGGGAAAAAAATCAAAGCCAAAAGTTAATCCCCCCAAAAGCTATTTTCACTATTATGCATCCAAGCAGTAACAAAAGTACCATTATAAAAATGTGATCCTAAAAAATCATTTATTGGCATCTAGCACACTTCTAAAAATTGTAGAAAATACCCACTAGTAAATATACTCATCCCTCAAGAATTATGTATTCTAGTAGAGAAAGCAAACCTATTAATGACTAAAAGGCATGGTATAGTAAGTGCCACAAAAGAATATTGAACCAGTAAGAAAAAGGAGAACAATTAAAATTTTATAGTATGCCTTATACTGTTTTATTATACTTTCATAAATAGAATTTGATAGGCCAAATAACTTCAAAACATATTCAAAGCTGAAAGAGGGCAACCTAGAAAGGAGCCACTAAGCTATTCCCTTAATAACTGATAATTCTTTAATGTTATATAATTTGAACTATTGTTCGATTTTTCTTTATCCTTTTAAAAAGTCTAACCTGTGACCATGACAGTACGAATGTTGGCTTTATGCAAATCTTCAAGTACTGCAGGGGTTTCTTGCTTTAATTTGTTCTGCATTATAATTAATCCCATAAAATCCATATTATTTTCAATGGTATCTCTGCAGAAAAAGAAATTTTAATACAATAATTTAGTCACAAGAATGCTATATAGTGACAAAGCAATTAAAATCCATAAATAATAAACATTTTATGTGCTGACTAAACAATAAATGTATTTAAGTTTATAGTTTCCACCGCTCAAAAATTGAGTCTGGAAAATTATTCTCAAGTATTTGGAAGTAAATATTACTCATTGATACATGGGAATATAAGGATCATCTGCAAATTTGTGTTTGTAAAGCACTAAACACTACGAGTACTGAAGAATATTCGTTTGTATCCTATCCACAAAAAATAAGCATAGTAAATTATTCTTCAATAACCCCTATTAACATACTCAAAATATTGAGAAAAGTGGGGCTGTTCCTTGAATATCTACTATGTACCAAGAAATATGCTGTTAATTTCAAGGAGAGATAAAAGGCATGTTGCTCTCATGATGCTCCTGTGAGAAAACATACAGGCAAGCAAAGAGGTACATGCAACAACATATACGTCAACACAATGGAGAGATGAAATCTCTTCAGTGACAGAGGCATTCTTTTAACAACTCAAGAAAACAGAATCGCAAAAAAAAAATTCCCCCACTGGACAAAGGAGGGAACAGAATTTCAGAGCTGGAATAATCAAGAAGTTTTTCTATACCAAAAAATCATTAACAAAGGTGCCTGAAGTAAATAACCTTAAAATCTAAAGGTCTCTGAAAATTCATTTGTTATAATGAGTGGTAAAGACAGTCAATGCAAACAATTTTGCTAGTGATAATACTTGCGATTAGTTTTCTAACTCCCCTTTGAATGTTATATCCTTAAAATCTTATTATCTTATGAGCAGTACAATACTCCACTCAAGAGGAAAGATTCAAGCTCTAAGAGAAATGTCAAAACCTGTTCCACCACTTAGCAAGGAAACATGAAGAAAGTTTCGGTTGAAGTATTAGAAGAAAGGGAGCAGAGAGAGATAAGTTGACAAAAGAGGGTTAGCAACAGAAGGACAGTCAATTCTAAGGCAAGTAAGGATGTCTGAATATTCAAGAATCAGCTGTTGGGCCAGAGATGGCAGAGGTTAAGTATTTGCTCTGCATGTGACTGACTGGTTCAATTCTCAGTGCCCTCTATGATCCCATAGCACCGCCATGAGGACTCTAGAGCACAGTCAGCAGTAAGCCCTGAGCACTGCAGAGTGTGGCCCAAAAACAACAAAAAGAAGTATTAGTCATTAAGGGGAAAGTGGTAAATGATGAAGCTCTGGAGAAAGAATGCCCCTTGCACAGAAATTAGCATCTCCTATTAGACATTTGCGATGCCCAACCATGCATAAGCATCCAGCCACTTGGTTTATCAGCTGTTCATGCTAAGACAACATCTCCCAAATAATGTCGTTTTTCCTATTAGTTGTCTATGCAATCCGCTATTCATTCTCACTTAAAAAAATGAGTGTACTAAAAATATTGTCCTTTTTCACTTAAATGCCTGCAACAATTAACAGTGGTATTAACAGTATGTCACAAATCAGCAATGCATTTAACCACTCATCCATTCATGGTACTTATGTTGTTTTAACTATTTAAATTTAAACCTTGTATACATGTTTAGGTTGAAATCCTATGTTTGGTTGAGTAAAACTATATAACCAAATTTAAATTGTTATGAGTACTAATCATATTCTTTACAAGTTTGTAACAGTACTGTAGAGGTTATGTTGTTTAAATGTTCACCCTTCCCATAAAGCCTGGTATTCTCAATCTTTTCAATTTTGCCAAGCTTAGAAGTAATGTTTCACTGATTTTATCTCAGTTTCGAAAGAAAGAGAGTTCTTTAGTTATCTTCCCGTCTTTTTGTAAATACTTATATGCTAACTCATATGTTGTCATTTCCCCCATATGTACATTAGTATTTGCTGAATTCCTCCACGTAGTAATAGGGCTTTTTTTTTTTTTATAAAATTTCAGACTGGATTCTAAATACAGCTGAATGTTGCAGAGCCCTCTTTGGAGGAACACAAATCAGAAAAGACTGGGCTCAAGTCTCTGCATTGATACAATGGCAGGAGGCAGATGGAGAAACAGAGGCCATTTGAGAGGGTCCGGTAATAGCTCAGTGGCAGAGCACTCACAGGTTTACCAGGTGCCATTCTTTATGCTGAGTGCAATGTTGGAAGTACTGCCAGTTATGGTCCCCAGTGTCACAACAAAGTGTGACAGTACACCACAACCACGAATGTTCAAACGTCACAATTGTGTGATACCACCAGCAAACAAAGCAACTAACCGTGTTGATTCAGCCAAAACTACAATCCTAGAACACAGCTCACACAACACATTGTAGAATTAGGTAACGTTTACTGAATGAAACAGAGTTCCTAAGAGCTGTACCTACACTGCATTGCACATGTTGCTCAGATTCGATAAGTAACTATACAATTACATAGAAATCAGGTTTACACAAACCTAAAAAGGACGCACTACTGAGAAAACAGTAAACTAGTCATTGGTTAGTCAACCTTACCTGCTAATGTTTTGTACTTTGTGCCATGTCAGTTTTGACTCCAATTTTCTGTGTGCAAGTGCAATCACACGGAAGCCCTGTTTAGTGTAATCCTCTAAAACCTTTTCAAAATCAACAGGAACTTTTCAAAAAGAAAAAAAAATCAACATCAGTGTTGAAATTGATAATGCAAGCCTGTACACAAACACCAGAATTGTATCCCCAACCGAGCTGTCTCTCACCTGTTTCGGGTTTACAAAGACTGGCAACAACCTCAGGAGCGCCTTTCATGTATGCATCCATTTTCTTATCCCCGAGCACCCTTGCAACCACACTCATACGTTGCAAAGCAGAAGAAAAGGGGAACTGGCGAACAATTCCGATCTCATAAATAGCCTATATGATTTCAAAAGGTGCAAAAGCATTGTTTTTGAGAAATAAAACAAATAAATACGTAGTAACAGAAAACATTATTCTTCACTCACCGGAAGTTCAAATAGCTCCTAAAAACAAAACAGAAAGAAAAATACAGATTAATGTTCAAAGCTGTGTATCTACAAAACATTATTTGGAAAAAGAACTTCTAAGTCATATTTCAAGATTTTGCTCTATCTCAAAATTTTTCCTAGTACCTATTAACACTTTTTAAATTTTGGTTTGGGGGTGACGTTCAGGGGTTGCTACTGGCTCTGCACTCAGGAATTAATTCTGGAAGTGCTCAGGGGACCACATGGAATGCCACGGAACAAAATTGGGTTAGCCAGAGGAAAGGCAAGTGCCCAGGCCTCTGTACTATTGCTCTAGCACCAAACTATTAACACATTAAGTGCTAAACTAATGAAGGGGAACTCACTGGAATTAAGTATTTCACATATTATGAAATTTTATAAAGATGTAATTTAAAAGAAAGTTTTTAATCACAAAGCACTAAGATGCTCTATAAACAGTAAGCATATGCATATGTTATATGTCTATTATACCTTAATTCAAAAATAATTATGCACATTTGCAAGAAAAAAATAATTACTGTTGAAAGACAATTGTGAGGTGGTTGTTTTATAGAGAAGCTTTTTGGGGACCAGTCAGCTGAAAGTGAAAACTAATCTGTCTGGAAGAACTCATCAAAAGAATAGTGAAACATCAGGGCTGGAGCAATAGCACAGCGGGTAGGGTGTTTGCCTTGCACGTGGCCAACCCAGGTTCAATTCCCAGCATCCCATATGGTCCCCTAAACACCGCCAGGGATAATTCCTGAGTGCAGAGCCAGGAGTAATCCCTGTGCATCGCCAGATGTGACCCAAAAAGCAAAAGAAAAACATAAAAAGAGAATAGAGAAACATCAATCAGGAATTAATTAACAAGTATTTCCAAGAGAAAATCTTTTTGTTGAGGTTTTTTAAAAAAAACAAACCAGGAAGCAATGGTGTTGAGAATTAATTATGCTCTCAAATGCTGCCTACAATACACCTGATTAGAGTTTCCAATAAACACATTAAAATGAATATGCACAAAAGGCAAGTCACATGATTTCATCTTTTGGCAAAGTTTCAAACATGAATTAAATGAGAGTAACAGCATTATCTAGTTTAAAATGATTTCCCACCATTTCTTGGTTTCCTGCAGGTGCAGATTCAGGAAGCAGTTGTTTTGGAGGCCGAACTACAGTGGGCATAATTCGATTATGAAGTGCAGTTTCCTCTTCAGTTGCTTCTTCCAGAATCTGAAAAAAATATATTGAATACAATGCTTCATAAAATTCAATTAATGATTCTATTTTTTAATAAAATACTATAGCTATTTTCAGTGAAGTAGAAAATTAGTATCCAAGAAACAAATAAGCACTGCTGATCATTAATGTACAGAAAACAAAAATAAAGCTAGATTTTAGCAATTCCACGGGAAGGAAGAGACAGAAGTTAAAAGTAGAGAAAAAAAAGAGGAATGTCCACCAGGTTTAGAACTACTGCCCCGCTCCCCACTTCCACCCCCCAATCAAAAAACCCAGAAAGTTCTTAAGAGTTCCAAAAAGTTTCAGTCTACCATCCAAGGATATCTGTCTGCTAACAGGGGAGGATTCTTAAAAGTTTTCAAGTACCAAAAAGTTTCAGTCTACCATCCAAGGATGCCTGTCTGCTAATAGGAGAGGATTCTTGAAGTAAGCAGAGCTCAAACCGAGTCAGCAGAACCAGAGGAAGCACAGAAGTCAAAAGACCAAAGTTAAATGTTTTAGTCTTAACGCCTCTAAATACCCACTACCTTATCTCTTTAAATTTTATTTTTAAAGCACTTTGTGGGAGCCTAGAGGAGCAGCACAGGGACTTAGGGCCCCCTGCCTCTCAATAGTATGATCACAAGTTCAAATCCCATGTCCCATGTGCATCAAGCATGATCCCAACAATTCTTCTGAACAGTAAAGTACACACCAAATCACAGCCAGGTGCTTTTGAGCACCACTAACAGGAAGCCAACTCCCAACAAGCGCAATGAAAAGGATACGCAAACCCCAGGGTTATAAAGTGTGACACCTGGCAAGCATAAGTACCACAGTGACCTCACAACCATAACTTGCGTGTCTCAACCAAAAGTACAAGGCCCAGCAAGCAAAGGAAAGAAAACCTTGGTGAACACCCCACCAATTGAACAAGCACTGCAACCTGATCTCACTGTATGACCCCTAGAGAACATCACAGATAAATCTGTGAAAGAACAACAGAACCATGTGTGCAATCCCCAGCCACTGTAACAATAACAACCACAAAGGGAAGGAAGAGGGAAAAGGAATAACTGATCCTAAAAAAACCTTTTTGCCCCCCCTCAAAAAATAAAAAATCACCAAACAAGAGTTTGCATACTTAAATGAGACACAATAAATAATGTAATTTGACTCTAACTGGAGGAACTAATCAACGGGAAAATAACAGAAGAAGGAACTGTATAATTTTATAGAACTAAAATACAGTTTAACATCTCTGAAATTAGGATGTATCTTAGATCAATCCCACTAAATAGCAGTAGAATCATTATTGAAAACATTCGACTGATACTTGTTATTTACAGCATGAGATTATAATTCACCTATTTTTTAGTAATACACACAATACTAAATCTATTGAGAATCTATTCAGTTCACAACAAGCTTTAGAGGGTATCAAAAATGAAGAAATCAATCCTATCTGCTCTGCTCCGTGAGGTGGACACCCTTTGGGAATGTACATTTAATAAGTGTTTACTGTGAACTTTCAGAAGATGGAAGAGCACTTACCCACTCAATCATCTCCCTCCCTTTCAAAGTATTAATGAAATATTAGTAATAAACCTGTAAAAGTAAATAAAGAGAAAGCAAGCAGGGAGGAATTACAAATATATATAGAAAAGACAAACTAAAACATATCGATGGGTACAGCACTGATGGACCAGAATAATACAGAAAGGACAGACAGAAGAGGTGGGTGCATTTCTCATCAGCTTGAGTAGAGAACTGAGCAAATATCGAAATCAGAGTCCCCTCAGATGAATTAGTTATCTGAGAGGAAGGGTAGCAAAAGAGAGTTAGCATTCCAAAGTAAAGCTTCGTTTGTGCAAACACAGTGCAAGTGGGTATGGAAAGTAACCTAAAATCTGATTCTACTCCTTTGAACCTAACTAAAGAGTACCGTCTGGTGAGACCTCCACCTGCCCCCACATACAAGTTTCCTTTTTTTCTTGCCAGCCTTCCCATTCAGGTAAGACTCTTCAAGAAAACAGACTAACATATATATAAACAAGAATAAAATGTATCGAAAAACTACTGTGTTTATCCATATGCTCTTTAGTAGGGCCTAGAGAAATAGCTCAATGAATGGGCTGGAGCACATGCTTTGCATGCTGGAGTTCCAGTTCCAATTCCTGGGACCACATGCCCCCACTCAAGCATGGTTGGGAACAACCGCCCAAGCACCAAACCAGTACTAACATCAACCCAAAACACAAGAAAACCTCTCTGCAGCTACTCAGGCTATCATTATCAGACTTTCATTCTGAAATTACCATCAAGTTGTAGAACAAAAACCAAATATGTGATGAAGATTTTAAGTATAGAAAGGCAGATTGGTGGACATCCAGAGAAAATGCAGAAGACAGAGAATCTGACTTTGAAAACTATATACATATACATATTATTTACCATATATAAAAGTAAATGTGAAAGTGACGAGAATAAAAACAAGCACTTAGAAACTGAAATTATCAATGGCAATGAAACAAAAATTAAGTGAAAAAAAGGGGGGTGGATACACACAGGAAATAGATGGGATCAGAACAACACTAAGATACATGAGTATTCACTTTTTATCTTGAACTACTAAAGACCATGTTACTGACACAGGCTACAATCCAAGTTTCTGGTAACTGATTCTTTTTATAAACATAAATCAAGAAGGATCATGAGAAACCCTTGAGATCATGAGAAATCTTCTAATAAAGGTGTTTTAACTCAGTCAACTTACTTTAATTTTTAAACACAAGTATTTCTCCAGTGAATGATCTTAGAAATTACATAGTTTGTAAAACAGTTATTAAAACAACCAGCAGAGACAATCCCGCATAGTAATTTTCAGTATATTTCCTTAAAGTTATTGTTCTTTAAAATATTAAACTTACCCATCCAATGGCTTCAAACATTTTTAAATCAAGTGGATCACCGGAGAGCACTCCTCCAATTTTTGTGAGTGAATGACAAGTAGCCATACAAGCAACAAACTGGGACTTTACCAACATCTCATTGCATACATTTTCTTCAGGCAAAAGAAAACTAAACAGAACACAAAAACATTAACTCAGTAATATATGCACACACCTTTATTCACTGCAACACTATTTATAATAACCAAAATCTGGAAAAAACCCAAATGCCCAGCAACAGATGAGCAGATAAAGAATTGGTGGCATATATAGATATAAATATAGATATATAGATATATATAGATATATATATAATGGAATACTACTCAGCTGTGAGATGAAATCTTGCATTTCACTGCAGTTTGGATTAACGATCATGCTAAATGAAGTGAAGAGGAAAAGTAACAAATACCAAATAATCTCACCCATATGGGAAAAAAAACTAAAGGGAATAAACTATGGTCAATGAAAACAAACTCTGAGGGTCAAAGCAACAGTACAGAGGGCAAGTGACTCCCTTGCACACGGCCAAACCCCTGGCACCACATACCCCTAGAAGTGATTCCTGGGCCAGGTGTGACCCAGAAACAAAACAAAACAAAATAAAACAAAGAAAGAAGACCAAGAAAACAAACCCCGAGGTTCTGCCTACAGAACTGAGTCTTACATGGAGGGGAAAGGAGAGGACAGGGGATAGGCATGCAGATGATCCGAAGGGCCCCAAGGACAGCAGCAGGAGACACAGGCACTCTGGTGATGAGTGTGTGTCTAAAACATTAATATTATAAATCTTGAGGAGTTAACTTTAAAAACAAAACAAAAAATGCAACTGGAAGTCAAGGAGATAGCTCTGTAGGCAGTCTTTCATGCCTTGCATATATAAGAACTGGGATCAAACCCCAACATCACCTCCCCCTGCCCCGCAATTTCCAGCGCTGCCAGGTGTGGCTCTGGAATTCTACAGTGTAATAGAATTCTAAATACCAATAGTGTACACACACACAGAGAATAAAAAGATGAGAAAGAAACTGACAGGGAATCTTTTTTAGAAAAATAACCTTCCAGAAAATACAAAAGACTCCTAATAAGATAAAAAGGCTTGGGGTTGGAGCAATAGCACAGCGGGGAGGGCGTTTGCCTTGCACATTGCCAACTGTGGTTAGATTCCCTGTCTCCCATATGGTCCCCTGAGCACCGCCAGGAGTAATTCCTGAGTGCAGAGCCAGGAGAAGTAACCCCTGAGCATCACTGGTGTGACTCAAAATGCAAAAGACAACACAGAAAAATCAGGATAGAAACTTGACAAAAATGCTTAAAAGATGCTAAATGATCCTCTTTCCAAATATGGGGAAATATGTTCAGCTTTACAAATAATTAGGAAAATGCAAAAAAAGTCACAATGGAGTACCATGTTATATGCCCCTACATGGCAAAAAAATAGACATCTATCAAATAGCCCCTAAGCACTGCTGGGTATACCACCCTGCCAAAGGAAAAAAAAAAAAATCCCACCCCAATGATAAGCTGAGTGCTTCTCCCTTTGCATGCTGTTGGAAGCCTGGGCTCTATCACTGGTGCTCCATTGGTAGCTAACCCTACAGCACCAACAGGTGTGGTCAACTCCCGTCCTTTCCCTCAAGAAAGGAGGCCAAAGGGCAGCAAAATCATACAGACACAAGTCATGTATGTCCAAGATGGATCTTATTTATAGATTTAAAAACATATAAAGATAGCAGAATAACATGATGGTAAGAATAGACAAAGAGATACTCTAGCAAAATCCGATCTTTTTACAAAACGGTGTAAGAAAAAATGTCAACTGTTTAATACTGGATGGAGAACTCAGCTGTCTATCACATTAGTTTATGTCTGAATGTTCCATATTAATATTAAGCAAAAAGAATCAAGTCAGGCTAACATTTACCGTGTATTTTCCACTCGTTGAATTCCCCAAAGATCTAAGCCATCTTCTGTTAGTGTTCCAGTCTGAGAAAAAACAAACCACATGTAAGCATGGACAATGCCTTGCAAAACAAAAATCACAAAAAGCTGTGTTACGGACACATATAAAACTACTATACAGCTGTAAAAACCAAACAGAACCTCCACACACTGGATGATGAATGACGTCAAGAACGGAGGAAGGAGGTTCAGAACCTTCCTTATAGTATGGCTCCCTAAGAAAGACTGGAAGGGCCCATGTGTAGAACTGCAGTTCATAAGCAATTGAACAAAACACATAGAATACATCAATCAATAAAGGATTCTATGAAGGAGGGAGTAAGTAGGGCATGGGGAGCTTTATGGGGAAGAGAGTAAATTAAATGATACCAGGAGGAGAGATCAACCAAATTTAGGATATGATGACCTAGCATATTCAATATAATATCAGAGGGAAAAGGTCAATAAAAGCAACTATGATAGATTAATTGTTACCAGTAAAAACTTATTCAAATTCTGATGGAAAAAATGTTAAAATAAGAGACATTTTGAGAAAGGTAGGAAAATGACTATGAACTGGATGTTAAGGAGCTGTTAACTTTTCAAAGAGTAATTAAGCAGTGATAATTAAAAAAAAAATCTCCTAGGGGCTGGCAAGACAGTTAATGGGTTGAGAGCTGATTTGCATGTGGGTGCCGAGTTTGATTCCAGCACCACCTGGTCCCCTGAGCAATGCAAGGGGGAGTGAGCGCTGAGCATCAAGCCAGTGGTCCAAAATCAAAATCTAAAAAAAAAAAATCTAGAATCTAGAGAGTGCCATGTTGAATAAGATCAAACAGAGGGACAGGAACAGACTCAGAATCTCCTTGATATGTGGTATATAAAGAAACTTCCTAAGGGAGTATCAAATGCTCAAAATTTTGAAAAACAGGGATGCTGGAGCAACAGTGCAGAGGGGAGGGCATTTGCCTTACATGCAGACGACCCAGCACCCCATCTAGTTACCCCCAAGCCTGCCAGGAGTGATTCCTGAGCACAGAGCCACAAGTAACCCCTTATCACCACAAGGTGTGGACCCTCTCACACTCCCCCCAAAAAAGAACTGGTCTTCAGTGGGAGATTTGCTACTGAGACAGGAGATAAGTTTGGGAAGGGAACACTTGGAAACTTAAGAGGAGAAATGTGCCGGCCAGAGACAGGCTGTGTTGGGGAGGGGAGGGTAGGAACTAGGAACATTTGTGAAGAATAGCAGACACTGGTGAAGGGACGGATGTTGGAATATTGCATGCCTGAAATTCAATCATAAATACCTTCTAACTCTGTAATTCACAGTAATTTAATTTAAAAAAAAATTTTTTTTTTAAAAAAAGAAAAGACACCTAGAGATCGATACTGGGTAAAATATACTGCCACTTTCAAAAATGAAGGGAGAGAGGTCCAGACAATGGCTCAACGGCTTAAAGTATCTGCCTGGTAAGCATGAGGCCTTGAGTTCAAACCCCAATGTCACTACACCTGCAGAGGTAATCCAGACAACTCTGCAGTCCCTAGCAAAAAAGATTACTTAGTAACTTTAAAAGCCCAGGGCAAGGGTGAGGCCACATTCTTAAGACTCATTCCTGGTGTAACCAAATGCACAAGACAATTCTAACAGCCCCACTGAGCATGATTCCTGACTTGGCAAGGGAGGCGTGACACAGAATGGCAAACAGTCACACCTGTTAGAGCTAGAAAATGAATAAGGCCTTTTTTGCATCTTTCCTCTTTTGTGTAGGCTTAGAAATGTTCAACTTTTTTTTTTACAAAGAAACTAGGTTTCCTGAACAGATAAATAATTATATATATACACATATATATGTATCTTATATGTCAATATTACTGTTACTGTGTCTGGCATATCGAATACTCTCGGTAGCTTGCCGGGCTCTCCGAGAGGGGCGGAGGAATCGAACTCGGGTCGGCCATTTTGGCCACGTGTAAGGCGAACGCCCTACCCGCTATATATGTCCATTTTTTTCTCTTTAATAAAAAAGATGCACAAAAAAAAAAACCAAAGAGATTGTTTTTGCTTTTTGGGGCACACAGTGGTGCTCAAAGCTTTCTCCTGACTCTGCCCTCAAGGATTGTTCCAGGCGGGGTACAGAGGACCGTATGAGGTACTGGGGATTGAGCCCAAGTTGACTGCGGGCAAGGTAAGCTCCCAACCCACTGTACTATCTCTTCAATAACCACTCCCCAATTACCAAATTTTCATGTCAGTTAACTATAAAAGCTTGATGGAAGGATTTTAGGTAAAGGTTTAATTCTCAAAATAAAAGATTAGAAAACCTAATTTCAGCTGAGGAAATAAAGACCTTTTGTAAGAGCAAGGTATGTTTCACACAGGTAAAAAACTTATTTTCATACAAAACCATAATATCAATGATCTGCATTCTTTTGAGACACATTCAGTAAGGATATAAACACTAAACATTTGTATTTGCCAATAAAGTTCAATCAATATGTCTGAATGGAAACTATACTAGTACATATATGAAAGATCTCCTTCCCACTACTGCAAGGCACAATTCCAAATATGAATTGCAGACTTGAGCAAATGAATAATGCACTGTCTGGACTGTCCTCCCATTGTTCATCGATTTGCTTGAGTGGGCCCAGTAATGCCTCCATCGTGAGACTTGTTACTGTGTTTGGCATATTGAGTACGTCATGGACAGCTTGCCATGCTTTGCCATGCAGGTGAGATACTCTTAGCTTGTTGGGCTCTCCGAGAGGGGCGGAGGAATCGAACCCGGCTCAGCCGGGCCGCCTGCATGCAAGGCAAATGCCCTACCACTGTGCTATCGCTCCAGTCCAAATGAATAATAGTCAAAAGTATTAAAAAAGATGCCTCTGTTAAGTTTTAAAATGCAACATCAAAGAATAACTGTAAATTAACTGATAATGAGTAGGGCAAGCATTAAATCTAAGTATTTAAAGAGTAAAGTTACAAAGTAATGTTGGAGGATGATTATGAAACTGAACCAACCTTGTCAAAGCAAACAAGATTCAGCTGTCCACAGATATTTATCCTTTGAGGACTGATACAAAAAATACCAACTTTTTTCAGTCTTCTTTGGGCATATACAATACCAGCAGTCATTGCAGCAGGAAGCGCAGGAGGCACAGTAATTGTGATGATATCAAGAGACTCAATAATGATTGATCCAACTTCTACCTGCAATTAGCCAAAAATGTGTCAAACTCTTCACAATACATAGCTACTGTTCTAATGTGATTTCCAGTGAAAACTCTGTAAAATCTATGAACATTCATAAATTTTTCCCTTTAGATAGTCTGCAAAATGTTATTAGTAAAGAAATACTACACAAAACACACATTTTTGAAGTCCAACAATCATTTGTTAGATGTTGACTGGCACTACATGCCAGTTTGCAGAGGATTTGAAAGAAAAAAATTGTGAGGACTTGGATTTGGATTTGATCCCCAAACGCCACAAATGAGAGAGAGCAAGAGTTAGAGAGATCTGGTATGTTCCTTAAATGCGTATTTACAAACAAAACAAACAAAAACTGTCCTCCTGTTGTTCATCGATTTGCTCGAGCGAGCCCAGTAATGTCTCCGTTTTGAGACTTGCTGTTACTATGTGCGGCATATTGAATACGCCACAGGTAGCTTGCCAGGCTCTTCTAGAGGGGTGGAGGAATCAAACCAGGCTCGGCTGGGCTGGCTGCGCACAAGGCAAATGCCCTACCGCTGTGTAGTGAGTGGTCATGTATTTACACACACTAAAAATAATTACAAGCAACTGAAGTGTCCCATATAACCCATGTTTCAAAAAGAAAAGAGGGTGCAGGAATGCCTTAGTGGTGGAGTGCCTTCCTTCCAGACTTCAGACATGAGTTTGATATCTCTCACTCTATACCACATGCTGAGTGTAATCATATTTATAATGCCATTTGTGATCCTCAGCAAATGAGGAGGAAAAAAAATCCTGGCCATCACAATAACAACAAAGAGAAGGAATGGCTTAATGAAACAGAAAAAGTAAGTTTTAGGTCAGCTACCCCTTGCTTTTTAAGTGACAAGACACTATGGGCGAGAGCAATAGTACGGCAGTTAAGATGCTTGCCTTACATGCACCTGACAAGGGTTCACTCCCTGGGACCATACTCAGTCTCCTGAGTGTTGCCAGGAGTGCTCCCTCGATACAGCTGGGTGTGGTCCAAAAAATAAACAAAACAGACAACAAAACCAGTGTGATCCAAAAAATTTTCTGCATAATTGGAATGTTTGATATAGCCTTACTTTCTAATATAATGGCTATTGGTCTTACCATTCTTTTTTTTTTATTATTCTTTTTTTTTTGTAGTGCTGGGGATCAAAGTCAGGACCTCGCCTATGCAAAGCAAGCACTCTAGCACTGAGCTATACTCCCATCTCTTAAATTATGTTTTAAAGTTAAATTGCTTTATATTAAAACTCTGACGAGCCTCATTTCTAATTCTCAAAAGCAAGATGTGATAATAATAATCAAACCCTAGGGCTAAGCAGTGTTAAGACAAATAAAATCCTTATCCCAGAACATTCACTAACTAAAAAGCTAGTCACTCAGGCATGTACAAAGGCTCCGAATGCGATTCCCCACAGGCACAGGCTCCTTGTGCAGCCCTCATGGCCCAAGACTGCTGAGCCCAAGCAGCAACACTGCTGAAGTCCTAGAATTAAACTAACCAGCTGAAGGAGAGTAGCTTCGGGGCTCCCAGGGAATTCCTTGAGAACCCCCCCTTCTCGTCCTCCAAGAAAAAAATCCTATAAATAGTACCATATACATACCTCATGCAAAATGCTGTTGATAATAGTATAGATAAATCCAATACCAGCCACTGCCACGAGACATAGTAGAAACAAGTAGGCATCTCTGTAGAGCTTAAAATCTGTTGGCTTGGGATATAATATGGAACGGACGAGCTGTCCTTTGGAAGTACTAAATCCTTTAAAAAAATGTTTGAGAAAATAATCTTGTAAGAAAATGGCATCTAGTGTGCTGAAAGTAGATAAAGGACCAAACATGATAACCCCTCAGTATCTGTACTGCAAACCCTAATGCCCAAAAATAGAGAGTATGAGGGAAACTGTCTGCCATGGAGGCAGGGGGAGGGTAGGAAATGGGGGGTATACTGAGGACACTGGTGGTTGGGAATGTGCACTGGTAGAGTGATGGGTGTTTGGTCATTATATGATTGTAACTCAAACATGAAAGCTTGTAACTGTATATCATGGAGGTGATTCAATAAATAAAAAAGAAAAAGAAAATGCCATCTACCCATAATGCCCAAAAGGGGGGAGGGAGGGAGGGAGGGAGAGAGGGGAGAGGGAGAGAAAAGTGAGAGGTAGACAGAGAGAGGGAGAGGAGGAGAGAGCGAGGGATTAAAAGTGTCTGGCATAGGCAAATGGTGAGGGGGGTGGGGTTGGCGGTGAGAGGCAATCTGGGGATACTGGCAGTGGGCACTGGTGGAGGGATGGAACATTGTATGAGTGAAACCCAACCATGAACAATTTTGTAACAATGTATCTCATTTTGATTCAATTTTTAAAAAAAAGCTTTAAATGCCAACTATACCAAAAACACGTCTTTTGAAATACTAAAACCAACTATAATAAATAATACAAAGAGATTAAGTTTTCTACCTGTTCTGACTACAATGGCTTTGACAAGTTCTCCAGTGTAGAAACGAGTCTGAATAACAGTAGTCCCACAAAACAAGGTGTGCCGTTTATGTATTTCTGGACTATAGAACTCATCTCCTGTTCCTTTTATGTCCACTGAAGGATTTGGCAAATTAGTCTTTGTCACTGGAACACTTTCTCCTTTAAAAAAAAAAAGTGCAAGTTAAAGCACAGACATCAATACCAAACCACAAAACTTAAAAACTGTTAACTATCCTAAATGTGATCTTACTATTGACAAAACTTAAAGCGTTCTCAAATGTGGATAACGTAGCCTAAGTTTGTTTTTTTTTTCTTTTTGGATCACACCCAGCAGTGCACAGGGGTCACTCCTGGCTCTGCACTCAGGAATCACCCCTGGCGGTGCTCAGGGGACCATATGGGATGCTGGGAATCGAACCCAGGTTGGCCGCATGCAAGGAAAATGCCTACCCGCTGTGCTACTGCTCCAGTCCCCTAATTAGGTTATTATCTGCTAACTTCCTTACCCAGAATATAAACTAGTCTCCCACACTATTAAGGATGTTTCTGTACTGTAGTTATCAAAGTCGTCTTACGGTGAGGCTCAAAGTGATTTGTAATTCAGAGGTAATCATTTGGATAAGATTGTGTAAAATTTCAAGTAAAACCAGGTAGTTGCCACAGCAGGATGGGTATGTCGTTGCCAATGTTCTCCCTTCCGAAATCCAACACGCCATTTCATTGGTAAAGAAGTGAATTAGCACCCAGTCCAGACAAGGTCAGACCCAAACAATGGAAGAACCTGCTGCCAAGTACTCATCAAAACACTGGCTCGGCTCTTCAAAGGCTATCTGTCATTTGATGGACAGGTAGCGGTTTTTTTTTTTTTATGGAATGCAAGGTTCCATCCCAATGGAAAACAGCAGGACTGTAATACTGTACAAGGGAAACATCCACGACATTTGCAACTATCGCCCAATCTGCCTGTTGTCTGTCATCTACAAGCTGTTCACTCGAGTCATCCTGAATAGGATTGGCAGAACACTAGATAAAGGACAACCATGCGAGCTAGCCGGGTTCCAGAATGGATTCAGCACCATCGATCATATCCACACAATATGATCAATAACGAAGCCCGTTGAGGTTTCTCGGAAGTTCAAGATGCTGCTCTGTCTAACGTTCATTGATTTAAAGAAGGCCTTTGATTTTATTGAGACTGAAGTGGTCATCGAAGCCCTAGCCAAACACGGCGTTCAAACTCAATACATCAGGATCGTCCATGAGCTATACTGCGAATTCACTACCAGGATCTCACCATTCTACAGGGAGGTGATCATTGATGTCAAGAGTGGGGTTCGACAGGGTGATACCATTTCACCGAAACTCTTCAGTGCCACCCTCCAGAATGTCGTGCGATGACCGGAATGGGAAGGAATGGAAAGGAAGGGAAGTGAAGATAGACGGTCAGCAACTACACCACTTCCTCTTTCTTCACTGATGACATCATTCTAATGACACCAAACCACTTAAGCAGCACAAATGCTGGCCGACTTCTACCTTGAGGTGGAAAGGTCAGACTACAGCTAAATTTCACGATGATAATGTTTATGAGAAAGTCTCATTCCTGATGTTCCATTCATGCTTAACAGGACGAACATCTCCAAATGCAACAGTTACATGTACCTAGGTTGAGAAGTCAACATGACGAATGACCTGGCACCTGAGCTGTGCAGGAGGAAGAGAGCGGTTTGGAACGCTTTCAAGAACGTCGAAGAAATAGCTAAAAGGACGAAGAATGTCCGGCTCTGAGCACAACTCTTTGATTCCACTGTTCTTCCTGCATTAACATACGCCTCAGAGACCTGGGCCCTACGAAAACAGGATGAGAATGCTATTCGGGTCTCCCAAAGAGGAATCGAAAGATCTATGCTTGGAGTATCACGCTTCACTCAAATGAGAGAAAGAATCCAGAGTTCCGACCTCCACGACAATCAAGAATCAGGGATGCTGTCTCATTTGCCAAGGCGTTGAAAATTAGATGGGCTGGACACATAATGAGATTTGGAGACGACTGCTGGACTAGAGCCATTACTGACAGGACATCAAAAGATCGCATGGCCGCCCACTTATGAGATGGTCAGACTTCTTCGTCAAGACCCTGGATGATTGGTTTGAGGCTGTTCATGTTCCTAGAATGAGCAGACGCCATTGGGCTACACTGCAACTTGACGGGGACGAATGGAGATGTTACTGATGCCTGCTCGAGCAAATCAATGAATAACAGGACGTCAAATGACCAAGTGATCAAGTTGCCACAGCTCTAGTACTTGTTCTTTTATCCCAAATCTGTGAATCAGAAATCATTCCGAAACTTCAAACTCATCTTCAACAGATAGAAAAAACACAAACCTACAACTAACCTACACACATATACACATAAGCAAACACTTGTGCAGAAGTCATGTGGGCAAGGGAGAGAAGAAAGTAAGTAGTGTGGGAGTTCTCTCAATAAAAGAAAATTTTTTCTTAATAGTAAGTATTAATTCTCTGTTAAGTTTCAGGCATTTTAATTCAAAGGCATTAAATGGCAGTAGTATGGGGACTGTAAATATTTGTGTGAGAATAAATTTTAAAACAATTTTTGTAATAGTCTGGAAAGGTATTACATAGAAATAAATCTCTTCCTCATGAGACTGATTGTAACAATTAAAAAGAAAAATTCACATCGCTTAAGATATAAATTTTTGCCTTTAGGTTATATATTTTCAAAGTCAACTCACATTTGTGTACTTTTTCCCAGTTTAAGAAAAATATGAGGGAGTGTGGTGCCACCAGCAGGTCAAGCTGTACATGTGAGGCGAGTGCATCAGCAACCTGATGGCGCCTTCAGATTTCCAGATACCCCAAAATTGCTGCTGTGCCTTTCTCCAGGACCCAAAAATGTGGGGCAAACTTTACCAAGAAAGAAAACGGCCAAAAGTTAGGTATGTGGGAGACACACCTACAAACCACCTCCGGCTCAGCTATATAATTGGAGGCATGCATGGCCTCTCCGGTTCCTGATTGAACTGCTTAATGGCCATGATCCCAGAGACTCAGAAACAAATCTCGGAACCCATTAGTTTTGGGCAGAAATGCGTCCAGACCCCGCAGTAGGTTACTGTCGCCAGGCCATTCCCGTGGGGGAAGGGTGCTTCCCTCCTCCTGTTCCTCCTAGGTGACTCGGTGGCCGCCATCCTCCAGAGGCCATTGGATGGTCAGGTTTGGGCCCTTGGTGATGAGACATGCAGGGCCTCACGGGATGCGGGTGAAGCCAGCCCTTTCCTCCCCACCCCAACGAGACTCTGAGTCGCTGCCCACAAATGACCTCTCTGGCTCCTGATCAAGCTGCTTAAATGCCACGATCCAAAACTCGGAACCCAGCAAGTTTTGGCAGAAATCCCTCCAGATTTAATTGTGAAAAGTTTGGAATTCCCAAATCACATGTTATTTATAACCAGCAATAGAAAACAAATTGTCTACTGTTGCCTTTTCAGCAGATCTGAGTGTTGGGGTAAAATCCCAAATAACAATGGTGGGTCTGGTGTCAAAATATTGAATGTAATCAAAGTAGAGAGAGAGCAATGTGGAAATCATCTGCCCACAGGTTTGGGGAGGGTGTGAATGGGAGTATACTGGGGTTCTTGGGTATGGAGAATGGGCCCTGGTGAAGGTATGGGTGCTTCATTGTATAACCGAGACTTACACCCGAAAGCTTCGTAACTGCTCTCACGGTGATTCAATAAATAAAATTATAATAAATGAAAAAAAAAACAAGGTGGAGTTCATGCCCAATTCAATCAGCTAATCAGTGGCTGAATAAATAGCAGTACTCCTACATTTAAAAAAAAGAAAAAAATATGAAAACTTCATCTCTACTTTTTACACATCAAAGAGGAAAACAAATAAGCTATGTTCCCTGTGAGCAAAGACCTTGTTCTTGTTCTTCCCAGACTTTACAATATTTCCCACCTCAAGAGTGACTAAAAGCAAAGCAAGGTTAAGAGACAGAGTGATTTCATGTTAAGGCTATGCAGAATTTTGTCCCCTCAGAATAAAATAAATAAATAAATAAATAAACACTTAGTATCACAATCAAGAAATTCAGGACTGAAGAAGTACAGAAATAGTATCAATAACTTTGTGGCACCTTGAAAAGTATTTAACGCATTATAAATGACTCATCTAGTATTTACTCATTGGGTTTAGTTTACCTGTTAACATGCTTTCATTTACAATGCAAGTACCATTAATAAGCACTGCATCACAAGGCATGACTGTCCCATTTAATGGAATCACCATGATATCTCCTGGCACAAGGTCGGTAGAAAAGATCTCTTCTGTTTCTGGAGTAAAGAAAGAAAAGTCTGAAAACAATATTCTTTAATTTGGAATAAAAATAAGAACTATCCAGGTCAAAGGCCCACTGACCCAACATTTTTTTTTTAAATTCTGAAGAGAAACTTGGCTGGGGAAGGGGGGTAGTGGAGGAGGGATTATGGGTGTATGTATGACACTCAGTGTTACTCAAGGGGTTGGGTGCTGGGGGTCTCTCTTGACAGTGCTTGGGAGATACGTGGTGTCAAGAATGAATATCAGGTTGCCTGCATGCAAAGTATGTATTCAGCCAACTGGCCTTCCAATTTTAATCTCAAAGTTAAAAATATTTTTTAAAAAGGGCCACAGAGATAGTACAGAAGGTAAGGTGCTTTGCCTTGCATGCAGTTGACCCAGATTCAAATTCCCATCACCCCAAGCAGAGACAGGGCTATCCCTGAGCACAGAGCCAGAACAGTCCCTCAGCACTGTCAGATGTGACCAAAACCCAAAAACAAGCACACACACACATAAAAATAGATAATAATAATAAATGAAGAGTTTCTTTCTTTTGGTTTTTGGGCCATACAAAGCAATTCTCAGGGGCTACTTCTGGCTTTGCACTCAGGAATCACTCCTAGTGATGCTTGGGGGTAACATATGGGATGTAAGGGATTGAAACCAGGTCAGCTGCATGCAAGACAAATGCCTTACCCACTATAATCTCTCCACACCCCCAATAAATGAAGAGCTTCAACAAATGAAGTTATAATTGCTAGGCTAAGAATGCATGGCGTTCAGATGCATCGCCTAGTTAGTCATGGTAAGACTACACTAGGTGATATTACGTGCCCTCTTTACAAAACAAATTTTAACACAAGTTAAACACTAGGAAAGTTTAAACACTGTCAGCAAGTGGCCAGTACTCAGGAAAAGAAACAACTTGTTGAGTGAAACTGAACTATCATTTGAATAAAGTACTTTCCATAGACTTTTGGAATGAATCCAAGTTCCTTACTTTGCCCTGAAAGGTTAATCACTGACTTATTGTGTCTAGTACAGAATATCTTCTAGTTATTAAATAACCAACTTCTCTCTAAATCTCTAAGTCCTTGGGCACTCTGACCCCTCTTGTATCCTCACCATAATACCTTCTTACATAACTCCAACCTGATCAATTCCACCACTTAAAAATACTGAACAGGGGCTGGATAGTACAGTGGGTAGGGCGTTTGCACGCGGCCGACCTGGGTTCAATTCCCAGCATCCCATATGGTCCCCTGAGCACCGCCAGGAGTAACTCCTGAGTGCAGAGCCAGGAGTAACCCCTTGCATCGCCAGGTGTAACCCAAAAAGGGGGGCGGGGGAGAATACTGAACACACATCACTAAAAAGGGGGAAAATAATAATAATAATAAAATAAAATTAACATTCTGAATTTAAAAAAAAGTAATGTGGAGTTCATGCCCAATTCAATCAGTTTAATCAATGGCTGAATAAATAGCAGTACTCCTACATTAAAAAAAAAAGTGGATCAGCAGCCTGATGGTACTGTCAGACTTTCAGATACCCCAAAATTGCTGCTGTGCCTGTGGCCAGACCCCAAAAACCTGGGGCAAAGTTTACCAAGAAAGTAAATGGCCAAAAGTTAGGTATGTGGTAGACACAACCACAAACCACCTATGGCTCAGCTATATCATTGGAGGCATGGCCTCTCTGGTTCCTGATCGAACTGCTTAACAACCATGATCCCAGAGACTCAGAAACAAATCTCGGAACCCAAAGGCTTTTGGCAGAAATGCATCCTGTTCCTGCAGTAGGTTACTGGTACTGGGCCACTCCAGGTGGAAATAGGTTTCGTGCCTTGGCCTGTTCTCCTTGGCAGCTAGGTGACCACCATCCTCCAGAGGCCACTGGACAGTCAGGTTTGGGCCTGCAGTGACAAGATACACGGGCCCCTCAACAGATGGGGGTGGAATCGGCACTTTCCTCCCTCCCATTCCAACGAGACCCTAAGTCGCTGCCTACAAATGGCCTCTCTGGCTCCTGATCAAGCTAATTAACGGCCATGACCCCAGAGACTCAGAAACAAATCTCGAAGCCCAGTGTCTTTTGGCAGAAATGCATCTCGACCACATACAAGGTGGTTGCTGCCTCAGAGCTTACTGAAAAGCCAGGTATGAGCCAGTGGTGACGGGGCAACTGCAGTCTCATGGGAAGGGGAGGTGGTGCCGGCTTGTCCTTCACACCCTACGGAGGTCACAAGTTGCCCTCCACAAGCAACTCTCTGGCACGGCCATGGCTCCAGAGGCAAAAGGACTTAATCCAGAGCTCGGCAGCTTGCGGCAGAAAAGTGAATGGACCATATATTAAACTACGACGCCATGCCTCCCTAGGAAGGAAAGGGTGTTGCTCCCTTCCGCCTCCCCCCCAACCCCTCCCTGCTGGCAGTTACTGGAAAGCTAGGTATGAGCCAGTGTTGACGGGGCAACTGCAGTCTCATGGGAAGGGGGGTGACACCGGCTCGTCCCTCACGCCCTACCGAGGTCACGAGTTGCCCCCCACGAGCGGCTCTCCGGCACAGCCATAATATCAGACGCCCAGAAACCAATTTTGTAATTATCTGGCTCTCTGCAGAAATCCAAAACCTCGTGGCCGCTATTGCGGCCACAGAGATTATATAATTCTCATAACCAGTTATATTTCACAATGCCTTTTCAGCAATTCTGACTGTTGGGAGGGAAATTCTAAACAATAATGGTGGATCTTTTGTCGAAATAACGAATGTAATCAATGTAGAGAAGAGTTAAGTGAAAATCATCTGCCTCACAGTAATTGGGAGGGGTTGGAGGGGGGTATATATTGGGGATCTTGGTGATGAAAAATGAGTACTGGTGAAGGGAGAGGTGTTTGATCATTGTATGACCGAGACTTAAACCTGAAAGCTTAGTAACCTTTCCCACAGTGATTCAATAAATAAATATAAGAAAAAACTATGGAAAAAAAAGTAAGGTGGAGTTCATGCCCAATTCAATCAGCTAGTCAGTGGCTGAATAAAAAGCAGTATTCCTACATTTAAAAAAAAAAAAGAAAAAAAAGAGAAAATAATACCGACCACAGCTGCCATTCTGGACACATACATTAAATGATCTCTCCCCTCCTCTCCTTCTCTCTCTCCCTCTCTCTCTCTCACACACACACACACACACACACACACATACATTTTTTTGCCTCCTCCCATCACAGCATTTGTCTCACTGGATGGTTCACATTTATCATCTGCCTTCCCAGCTACACTGAAGGTTTTGATTATGGCGAGGACTATGTCCTTAGTAACTACTGCATCCCCAGAACCTAGTGTCATCAATATATGTCAAACTATAGAAAAATACAATTTTATGTGGATAAATTCAATAAATCTGAGTACAAACCCAAACATGTTTCCATTTCCTAAGAAATACATGTCTATGAATAAATAGACCGGGATTCCTTCAACATATTAGTGTTTAATGAGTCACTTAACATTTGTTAAACTAAAAAGGTTAATGTTTCTAATTATCATCTGAAGTACTTTCTTACCTTCATTTAATCGGCAAACTGAAACTCTCACGGTACTGTGGGCTGCTACCATGTCATGCAACATAATATATTGCTGAAATTAAAAAAATACATAAAACTAATAAGTCCATTTTCTATTTTAATAAAAGCAAGAATGCTATTAAGTTAGGAAAATCAATATAGCATGCTTGAACTATTTTTAAATATCAAGATTAAATGAACAGGTCAAAGATCATTCAGTACTTTATGTTCAAGACAAAATAGGAAGTACTTTAATGAGATAGCCCAGAAAACAACAGAAATCAGCACCCAGTAGTCCACCTATGATAAACTACCATTAAATCCAACAGACTAAGAAGTCAAGCGGCAGTCTGACCCCAAACAGCATGTGTCTTCTCCCCACCTTAAAAGTAGAGAACTGTGGCGGTATGGTGCCGTCAGCAGGTCAATTTGTACCTGTGAGGCGAGCGCATTAGCAGCCTGATGGCACCTAAAGACTTCCAGATACCCCAAAATTGTTGCTATGCCTTTGGCCAGACCCCAAAAACTTGGGGCCAAGTTTACCAAGAAAGTAAACGGCCAGAAGTTAGGTATGAGAGAGACACGCCCACGAATCACTTCCGGCTCAACTATATAATTGGAGGCAAGGCCTCTCTGGTTCCTGATTGAACTGCTTAACGGCCATGATCCCAGAGACTCAGAGACAAATCTTGGAACTCAACGGCTTTTGGCAGAGATGCGTCTGGCCCCCACAATGGGCTACAGGTGCTGGACCACCCCAAGGGAGAAAGGGTGCTGTCCCTCTACCTGCTTCCCCTTGGAGGCTTGGTAGCTGCCATCTTCCAGAGGCCATTGGGCAGTCAGGTTTGGCCCGGCAGTCACAAGACACGCAGGGCCTCATGGGATGAGGGTGGAGCCAGCCCTTTCCTTCCCACCCCGAGACCCCAGAGTCGCCGCCCACGAAAGGCCTCTCTGGCTCCTGATCACGCTGCTTAACGACCATGATCCCAGAGACTCAGAAACAAATCTCGGAACTCAGTGGCTTTTGGTAGAAATGCGTCTGGTCCCTGAAGTAGGTTACCAGTGCCTGGTCACCCCAGGTGGAAATAGGTTTCGAGCCTTGGCCTGTTCCCCCTGGCGGCTCAGTGGCCTCCATCTTCCAGAGGCCACTAGACGGTCAGGTTTGGGCCCGCAGTGATGAGACACACGGGAGTCTCACAGGATTGGGGTGGAGCCGGCCCATTCCTCCCCACCCCAATGAGACCCCAAGTCGCCACCCACGAATGGCCTCTCTGACTCCTGATCAAGCTGCTTAACGGCCATAATCCCAGAGACTCAGAAACAAATCTCGAAACCCAGCAGCTTTTGGCAGAAATGCGTCGGTCCCTACAATAGCTTACTGGTGCTGGGCCACCCCAGATGGGAATAGGTTTCGTGCCTTGGCCTGTTCCCCCTGGCTGCCATCCTCCAGAGGCCATTGGATGGTTAGGTTTGGGCCCACAGTGACGAGACATGTGGGGCCTCATGGGATGGGGGTAGAGCCGACCCTTTCCTCCCCGCCCCAATGAGACTCTGAGTCGCTGCCCACGAATGGCCTCTCTGGCTCCTGATCAAGCTGCTTAAATGCCATGATCCAAGAGACTCGGGAACAAATCTCGGAACCCAGCAGGTTTTTGAAGAAATCCCTCCAGATTTAATTGTTAAAATTTCGGAATTCCAAAATCATCACGATCATGATCATCCTGTTGTTCGTCGATTGCCTCGAACAGGCACCAGTAACGTCTCCTTCGCCCTAGCCCTGAGTTTAAAAAGTGCCATATTCAAGGCTCTTTCAGGGCTAGGAGAATAAGGCCCATCATTGTTAATAGTATTTGGCATATCGTGTACACCACGGGGAGTTTGCCAGACTCTGCTGTGTGGGCAGGCTACATTTGGTAGCCTGCCAGTTTGTCCAAAGTAAGAGTGAGATAATAAGATGTCGCGTGGCTACGAAATCATATGCTATTTATAACCAGCAATAGAAAACAAATTGTCTACTATTGCCTTTTTGGCAGATCTGAGTGTTGGGGTAAAATATCAAATAATAATGGTAGGTCTGGTGTCAAAATATTGAATGTAATCAAAGTAGAGAGAGAGTAATGTGGAAATCATCTGCCCCACAGGTAGGGGGAGGGCATGGGATGGGGGTATACTGGGGTTTTTGGTGGTGGAGAACGGGCACTGGTGAATGGACAGGTGTTTCGTTGTATGACCAAGACTTAAACCCGAAAGCTTTGTAACTGCTCTCACAGTGATTCAATAAATAAAAAATTTTTTTAAAAAAGGACAAATAAAGTAGAGAAAGAGAGGATGAAAGTAGAGATTCATATAACTAAAAGAATAACCTTATGGAGCACTTACAAATAGCATCTATTCTACACACCTTACATATTATTACAAACCCAGTTACGAATTCCATAACAAATTGGACTTACCTTTCTAATGGAATATAAGGAGGTTAAAATTGATACTATAGACATAATCACAATGGCAAGAGCATAGTAGTAGTATTCATCAGTGCTCCACAATATAACACTGAACAGCTGGAAAATGTAAAATGGGTTGAGAACCTGAGGGAGGAAAAGACGAAGTCAAATTAAATGAAATACGGTAAGAATTTCTACCTTTTGGAGTTCATGCCCAATTCAATCAGCTAATCAGTGGCTGAATAAATAAGCAGCACTCCTACATAAAAAAAAAAAGAATTTCTACCTTTTTATCCGGAGAGTCAGATAGCAAATTTTATTGTGTCTTAAGGAAATATGTACTAGAAGTCCAAAGAATAGGCCACGAAGTTTAGTGCAGTGTTTTTTATCATTAAGATACTACAACTTTGCTATTATGGCTTAATTTGAGTCCATTCAGATTCGTACCAAACTCAAATATCCAGTAATAAATATTCTTGATTCTATTTTGCAAATAAATTTGAGTTACTTCCAATAGAGACTAGTTAAGCAGTGTTCCTTAACTATGGTCATATGGCACTGGGTGCATGGCATGAAATTAAGAGCCAATCAACAGGACAGGGACAGAAGAAAACCACAGTTAGAAAACATTGAGAAATACTATATTAAAGGACACAAAAACTAAATGAAAGAATGTTTACTTTCATGAACTTAAAATACAAATCTAAGTAAAAATTCAATGGAATCCAAAGGAAAGTCAAATGAGAGAATCAGTTGTTAAGGAAAAACACCTAAACAGAGAAAGAGTTAAGTTAAATTCATTTATCCAAATTTTATATTATTTTATCTTTTTCATTAATTCTCCTAAATGTCCTAAGTGATGCTTCTGCACTTTCCAAAGCGCTTTTAAATATATTGTCTCACATAGCTTCAGGATAAAATGAGGGAGGTCATTAGAAAGGATTTGCAAAGCTCGAGAACACAGCTCAACAGGCTTATAATAAGCACATGTTTTGCATGTAGGTGGACTAAGTTCAATCTCTGACATTGCACAGCACCACAAGTCATGGAATTAATCAAGTATACAGTCAGGAGTAGGCCTCAAAAGTGATCCCAGAGTATAAAGCCGAGAACAGGCTCCAAACAAAGAGGAATTTTTAATTATAAAATTACTGGTGGAATCATTACAAACCAGGCTTTTCTAACGCTTATTCACTATACTTGGCTACGTTTTAGAGTCAAGTTAACAGACAACTCTCAAGAAATGAAGAGCATTGTCTCATATTTCTACATTCAATATGCACCCAACAGTCATCACTTGTTCTTCAATTAAAAATCAGGAAGACAGCACTGCATGGCAATAATTACTTTCTTCCTTCATATACCGCACAGTCCTTCATTCTTTTATGTTGTCTTATAAGTGGACAATAATTACAAGAATAGTCAGATTTTTGGGGCCGGAGCGATTGTACAGTGGGTAGAGCATTTGCCTTACACACAGCAGGCCCGGATTCGATCCCTAGCATCCCATATGGTCACCCAAGCTCCACCAAGAGTAATTCCTGAGTGCAGAGCCAGGAGAAACCCCTGAGCATTGCTGGGTGTGACCCAAAAAGCAAAATAAGTAAAAAAAAATAGTCAGGGTTTTCTCCCAGACTATACATTTTTCAATGTCATTATTATCTTATAATTATATAGCAAATTTCTGGCACAATGTCTACTGAATCACGGAACAGCACCGTAAGAAGGCAGTAGGATTTAAAAATTAGGCAGGGGACCTGGAGTGATTGCACAATGGGTAGGGCATTTGCCTTGCTCGATTCTGACTAGGTTCAATCCCTGGCATACTAAATGGTTCCCCAAGCACCATTAGAAGCTATTCCTGAGTGCAGAGCCAGGAGTAAGCCCTGCTGAGCACTACTGGGTGTGGCCTTAAAAAAAAAATAAAAAACAGAATCTGTGGGGGGGAAAGAGTTCAAGGGATAGTGCAACTGGCTAGAAGGATGGCTTTGCATGCAGATGCCCCAGGTAAGATCTTTGGCACTGCACTGTACCACAAGCACACCAGGGACCCCCAACTACTGATATGGGAGCAACCCAAACCACTGCTGAAATCCAAACAAAAATATTGGTAGAAAGAAGACAGGTATATACATCTGTACAAACATATGATTAGATAAAACTTAGAATATGACTTCCTGAAAGCTAAAAATATACTTGAACAAAATCAAAAGGTAACTCATGCCTCAAATTATTTTTCTTAAAGAAAAACATTTCTCTCTATTAGAGGTACATACAGTAAAAAACAATTCAGAAGTATTCAGATAATCAAGATCTTATTACATACATCAAGGCTCTTTTCAAATTGACAAATGCAGCAATGACAAATGTTGAGACATGTGCAGAATTCTTACCTCCTTAATTAGAAGCTTAAAAACAGAAGGCACTTTCACAGTAATTTCATTTACTCCATAAAGCAATTTTCTACAATGTGAAAATATAACAGTATTGTATTATATATTAACAATGTAATTTAGGAACAACATTACATATTGAATTAAGCTCAAAGCACACAGTGCTCTTAGTTCTGTAATTTCAACATTCAAATTGTTAAATACTTGTCATCCATAATTCAGAATCTCTACCTACCATATCTGAATCAAAGTAATGAAGATTAATAAACAACTATACTGTCTTCATTTTATCTATACTATCACCATTTGTTTTATATCTTTCTGTGTGACAAATATCATTCGTACACACTAGCAAATAATAATGTCAGCAAAAGACCTTTTTGCCCTTCTTTAGCACAAAGCACTGTAGCACTGTCCTCCTGTTGTTCATCGATTTGCTCAAGCGGGCCCAGTAACATCTCCATTGTGAGATTTGTTGTTACTGTGTCTGGCATATCGAATACATCACGAGTAGTTTGCATGGCTTTGCCATGAGGGCGAGATACTCCCAGTAGCTTGCCAGGCTTTCCAAGAGGGGCGGAGGAATCAAACCTGGCTCGGCCAGGCCAGCAGCGCGCAAGGCAAATGCCCTACCGCTGTGCTATCACTCCAGCCCTTTAGCACAAAAGGACTTAGTAATTGTAATTGCTGTTAATTTTTACAGGACTAAAGAAATGAGAGGTCCCATACTATTCACCTAATATATTAAAATGTTTACTCTTAAACACTATGCATTTGGCTTTTTTTTTTTTAGTGTTTAAGAATACCTACTTAAATTAAATTCCACTTAAAGACTTGAGCATTAAGATGATACACCGCTCGAGACAAAGGAGATAATTCAAAGGGCTAGTGCATACTCCTGGCATACAGAAGCCTTGGGTTCAATCCCACGGTCCTCCAAGCATCTTCAAAATGGCTCTCAAGGGGCTGGAGCAATAGCACAGCGGGTAGGGCATTTGCCTTGCACATGGCCGACCCGGGTTTGATTCCCAGCATCCCATATGGTCCTCCAAGCACCGCCAGGAGTGATTCCACAGTGCAGAGCCAGGAGTAACCCCTGAGAATCGACTGGGGGTGACCCCCCCTAAAAAAAACGGCTCTCAATATGCCAAATCCTGTGGGCACTGGCTAAAATACCTCAAATACACTGTCACTGTCCTCCCGTTGTTCATCGATTTGCTTGAGTGGATCCAGTAACATCTCCATTGTGACACCTGTTACTCTGTTTGGCATATCAAATACGTCACGAGGAGCTTGCCAGGCTTTGCCGTGAGGGCGAGATACTCTCGGTAGCTTGCCGGGATCTCCGAGAGGGGCAAAGGAATCGAACCTGGGTCCGCCGGCTTGGCCGCATGCAACGCAAACACCCTACCCGTTGTGCTATTGCTCCAGCCCACCTCAAATTAGTATATATTTATCTTCAATGTGATAGAATAATCCTTGCCTTTTATGACATGTAATGTCTGAGTGAATTTAACATTTTTTTAAAAAATGGCATAGTATACAAGAAATATTTCTAACTTCAAAGACATTTATCTTTGGGGCTAGAGCAATAGCACAGCGGGTAGGGTGTTTGCCTTGTACTCGGGCCCGTTTGAATCCCAGCATCCCATATGGTCCCCTGAGGACCGCCAGGGGTAATTCCTGAGTGCAGAGGCAGGAGGAGTGACCCCTGTGCATCGTCGGGTGTGACCCAAAAAGAAAAAAAGAGAGAGATTTATCTTTAAAATAATACTGTGATATATTTTTAGACTTCAGCAAAAAGTAAAAATTAAAAAGATGTCTTCCAAGTTAGGACATTTCAGTGACAAATTTAAGCTCATGCTTAAAGTGATAACTTCAGAAAATCTAAGATGCAATTAATTACAAAACAGTTATTTCATACCACCAAGAAGATAAAAATGCTCTCAAGATGATGCTCCACCAAATAAGACACATTCCTCTTTTAGAAACCTTCATATCTGGGAAAATGTGTGCCTTAGAATTTATGAAGTGCAGTATACTTTCAGAAATAACAGCTTCAAAATATTAGCTTTATAATCAAGCATTCTGGATATAGTAAAACCAATAATCTCACCCAAGTAAAATATCTCTAATTACTATAACACTTAACTATCTACCCATATATACAACTATATAGTCCACGTACTGTTTTATTTAGGAACTGTTAATAGTTTTAACTTGAGTTCAATAAAAATTACCTGTATGCATGCATCCCTTTTGTCAGTCCTGCGCTATGCTTTTCATAAATTGATGTACAAGAAACACCTTCATCCAGTCCCCTAAATAAATCCAAAGTTTTAAATTTAAACAAAGTTTAAAATACCCAAATTTCTTAATGCCTCCTTTTTCTAAATCCCGGATTTTATAAGTCTATCTCCCTTACAAAGTAAGAACTCTTAAAACAATTTTTTGAGGTGATGACTGAGAAATAACAAATCTCAAATTCCTAAGAAAAACACTAATAAAATGTCTCCTTCAAAATATAACAGCTTCTAAGTTACCCAACATTTGCATAAATAGGCTCTAAATTTTTTAACACTTTGCCAAAACCATTAAGTGCTATTAATTAAACTAAAAATTAAAGTACAAGGCCAGAGTGACAGTGCAGCAGGCAGGGCATCTGCCTTGCATATGGCCAATCTGGGTTCAATCTCTGGCACTCTATGTGGTCCCTAAGCCCCACTAGGAATTATTCCTGAGCACAAAGTCAAAAGCAAGCCCTGTGCACTGCCTAGCGTGGCAGCAATAAATAAATAAATAAAATATAATTAACTTGAGAATTCCAAACGAAAGATGAAAAGGTTTACTTTTTATAATCTATAGTTTTCTCTCTTCAATCCATTATATTTCACGAGAGCCTATTTTTCTTTTAATTATGCTTACCCTTCCTGTGATGCTAGTCCAAGATTCTCAAAAGAGAATTTTACAAATCATTTAACTCTACGCCTTTCTTTCACATTAAAAGGGGATGGAAAAAACTCTAAGCTCTATAAATGCTACCTATCATGATATAAGAGTTAAATTTCGGGCCAGAGAGATAGTACAGTAGGTAGGGCGTTTGCCTTGCAAGCAATCAGCCAAGGTTTGATCCCTGGCATCCCATATGGTACCCTAAGCCCGCCAGTAGTTGTTCCTGAGTGCACAGTCAGGAGTAACCCCTGATTACAATCTGATATGGCCCAAAAGATTTAAAAAAAAAAGTTGGTATCTTTTTATTATCGAAAAAGGCCACTCTGAAGTTGATATCTTTCCCAAATGCAGCAGGGGATCAAGTTCAAGTCAATTTTTTTAAATGGCAGCTCAACAGCAGTGATTAGAGACCAGAAATGGTCTCTAGAACTATGAATGTGGAAATGCCTAGTCCATTCCAGAATATTCCAACCGTTAGTGTATCTGAGGGGGGGGAAAAAAGTCTAGGCTTAAGTATGTTAAATGTTAAGGGTTTCTCTTTTTAGTGCTAATATTGAAAGTTTCTCTGGTACTCAAGCAATCTTAATGTTTGTAGTCCTGTAACAGCTATAAAAACAGAATCCTAATTAACTTTATGCATGTAAACTTGTGGTCTCCACAAATTTTAAGTGATTACTCAAATTCTTCCTACCCAAGGTTGAATCCACTTTGACAATGCCCACTCCCCTCTTTAACAGTTTTTGTTTGTCTATAATCCATTTCTCAGGTGCAAATGGATGTAAATGTAAGTAAACTGAAAAGTGACCATTAACATGCAGATACAAGATGTTCCTGAGAGAAGAACCCTCAAAGAGAAGTGGGGGACCACACAGAGCTCAATGCACTGAGTGTATGCTTCACTCAGTGTGGAAGGTTCGCTCTCCAGCAAGCATCCCATGGTGGCCTGAGCACTGCCTGTAGTAGCCCCCAAGTCCTCCTGTTTGACCAACAAACAAAAACAAAACAAAAAACAAAGAAGTGGCAGATTCAGGGATCATACTGATTTTTTTGGTATAAATTCTGCAAAGGTAAACAAAAAACAGAAAGTAAGAAAAGTGACATATTTTGGGGGTCATACTGATTTTTGTATAATTTTTGCAAAGGTGAAAAATAACAGGGTGCGTGTATTATTAAATTTTTAGAGTAACAGGTATGTGTATTATTAAATTTTGAATGAGCATTCAAATGACATCACAGGGTTATTACTGAACAAATTATTAACAAATTATTACTGTACAAATGTTACACAACAAAAAGTACATAAAATTCATTCACTAGAATGAATTATTTTCTACCAAGAACATTTTCAAGATATTAATCATCAAAAGAATTATACTTACTTTAAAAAGTCAAAATTGTGAAGGGTATCATTCCAGAAATATTTTACACTATGGTGGGTAAAATAACGAATCTGTAGAACACATACATAAAAAAACAGTAACAATCAAATTTACTATCACAAATCTATTACTTAACCAAAATCAAAATAATCACTTGGGATGTTAATCTAGTTCTTCTAGCAGTAATTGTTATATAGAGCAGTACATATTTTTATATTCATATAAACTAATCTCAAAGTAACTGCAAGCACAAAATCACAAGCTATCCATGACAGCATAAAATGTAACTAGTGACAGGTTTTGAAAGAAACTTGAATACTAAAAACACAATACCTGCTGTGATTGAGTCTGTGAATATTTACTTATTTCGTGTCTGTTCTCCTCAACAAGATTTTCAGATAAATGAACAGCATGGCCATTTGAAATCTTATCAGTCATAGACTTTGGACTTGAAAATGGGTGTGCTTCCAGAGATAAAAAGCGAATTTTTGCACAAAACCACATTCTGAATTCATCCTTTAGAATAAAAAGAGTCGATTATGTAAATCATTTTGATTTCCATTCCTTACCTATTATTTACTCATCTCATTGAAAATCATCACTTCCTACACTGAATGTTAAAACTGCTTCATGAAGATGCACAAATTCAAATAAAGTACTTTTCATTATATGATATAGTTCACTGATATAATGTCCCATAAAAGATCATCAGTAATTTATTAATTCCCCTATTTACATAGTGAGAGTAAGAAGAAATGTCTCATAAAATGTTCCCAACTAGAGGAAATAGAACACCAAGCATGCAATAACATCACACAGTAGAAAAGCAGCTGGCCTACTAAGAGATTTGAGAAATATACTATCCTAAATGTCCAGTCATCTTGACAAGTATGTAACTTGTCAACTATATCAAAAGCTATAAAACAGGTATCTGATCAACCCTAAGCAGTGATATATTCACCTCAAACACATATGCATTCAAAATGCTAGGATTTTTTTTTCATATCCCACTTGAGTGATCATGCTGTATTGAACATAAAGAAACATAAAGGAATAACAAATAGCCAAAGGCAATAGTGAGCAAAGGCAACAGAACTTGAGAACTGATCTACGTAACTGAGCTAGGGAGGTGAGGTAGCCCACAAAACACTACAACAGGACAGAAAGAGAAGAGTCGCTGGTGGAAAGGAGCAAATTTTTTTTAATGGTTGGATTACAGTTTCTCATTATATCCTAATAGTGATCATCTCTCCACATTCTGAACAGAGTCCCCACAAAAAACACTAGTTTACTACTCAGTAATCAGCAAGTAAATAATATATGGACTTACAGTAGTTCTTAGCAGCACCACTTCACAGTCTTTAACTGCAGCTCGAATACAGGTTGCTTTCACCCGCCATTCAGGCAGCCAATAGAGGATAAGGAGCAGAAAACCACCAGTGCAAACCACTCCTACAGAGACTATGGCAAGCTTCCAACGACTGAAATTATAGCCATAAATCTCCTGTATGAACACAATGATCACATATTAGCACTGGAGCACTGTCCTTCCGTTGTTCATTGATTTGCTTGAGTGGGCACCAGTAACGTCTCCATTGTGAGACTTGTTACTGTTTTTGGCATGTTTAGTACACCACGGGGAGCTTGCCAGGTTCTGCCATGCAGCGGGATACTCTCGGTAGCTTGCTGGGCTCTCTGAGAGGGAAGAGGAATCTAACCCAAGTCGGCCAGGTGCAAGGCAAACACCCTATCTGCTGTGATCACATATTAAATAAGATAAATTTAAAAATTCTTTTTTCCCAGACAACTTTTATGATTCTATGATATAAATTGCATAAATTTTCACAGCCCATAATTTGTCTTTAGATTTTGTTTCTGACAAGTTCACCGTCAAATCATACCTTGAAGTAGCTAAACTTGCTTACATTTTACTTGTTAGGTCTTTAAATCTGATGCTATGCTTAGTAAAGTACTTAACACTAACACAAAATATTTAATATTTGGTTCTTTTCCCGCAGTAACAATGCCAGATATAGATCACAGGAATGCAAAAGATCAAGTTAAACTAAAACCTCAAATAAAAAGCTATTCATTTTGGGGTCAGAGAGACAGTACAGTGGGTACGATGCTTGCCTTGCACACAGTCAACCCGGGTTCAATTTCCGGCATCCTGTGTGATCCCAAGCCCCACCAGAAAAAAATTCCCAAATGCAGAGCCAGGGGTAAGCCCTGAGTGTTACCAGGAAAGGCCTAAAAACAAACCAAAAAGTATTCTTTTGGTGTACATCCTATGTAATATTTCAAACACATTTTTATTAAAAATTTGTTCTGTGATTGTCTGATATTCATCTAAAAGGGTATGTTTTACTTTCTATGAAAATCTGATATAAACACAGAAACACTGAATATTTGCATTCTTTCCAGATTTCTCCCCCTACCCCTCCTAGTTTGGATGTCTTTTCACTTGTTTTGGGGTCACACCCCATGATGCTTGGGGGTTATTGTGCTCACTATTGTGTCACAAACCAAGCATCTCACAATACAAAGATTGTGCTATATTGCTGAGTTATACCCCCAGCACTTAAGGTTGCTTTTCAAACAAGCTTATTTCAAACACTTTTATAATGCAAGATTAGAAATCTTTTTATTAAGGGGTGCGCAGAGTGTCCACACCTGGCAGTGATCAGAGCTTACTCCTCCTTCTGTGCTCTAAGATCAGTCCTGGTGGACTGATCAGGGAAATCTATGATGTGCCAGGGATTGAATCTAGCCAGCCATGTGCAAGGAAATCAACTTTGGGGCCTGAGCAGTCCCAAACTAAAAACCCTGTATTTGAAGTTTCAAGTACCAGTAACTTCTTAAATCACCAGATACAATAAACACTCTTCAAAGTTTTAACAGTTCAAAAATGGAACGGGAATTATACTAAAATCAGAAACTATATTATACAATACATATTCCCAATTCAAAAAAGTTAAGATGAGAAAAATGTACAATTATTTAGATACATTTAAATATATTTACTTTCCTATTTCCCTAGAGTAATAACTTAATTCTCCACATTTCATTAAGTCAATTATAAAAACTGGTTACCATTTCATCTTCTTGACCCTGGTTGATAGTCTTCCTTTCTTCTTTGTCCATATCTACAATGATGTGAAAGGTCTTATGCTTCAGAACAGTTGAAGATAACTGAGAGGAGAGAAATAAACATACAAATTATTTAGTATCTTTGACAACTATAACTGTACACCACCAGTTATTTGTTATACTGTATACCACCAGTTTTTGTTCTACCATTAAAGAGTTCTTTCACGTGGGTAAAAGGTTGGAAAGATAGTACAAAATGAACCGTTTGAAGTTTTTAGAAATTTTCAGAAGGTAATTCTGACACCACGAGTCACAACTCTTGAAAATATGCCACTATAAATCCTATGTTAACCTTTAATATACCAGGCACTATCCATACACTCTTTGAAAGGAGCAAGGGGCACAACAGGCTATGCTCAGGGCTCACTCTTGCAAGTTCTCAGATGATCATATGATGCCAGGGACTAAGTAAGGGTGGATCACATGCAAGACAAATGTCTTTACCCCTGTAATATCTCTTAAACCCTATCCACACACTCTTAACCACAGGGTTTTGATATAATTCTTCTTCACCCTTGTTCTTGAGCCTGAAAATACTTCTGTTTTTGCATATTACAAATTTTAAAAGGAGTGGACAAATAAGTATATTCTACATTTTTCCCCAGAAAAAGAATTACCACTAAATTTTAATATTTTCATTAAGATCACAAATCTGTACCCATGTAAAAGCTTTCCCCAAATATTTCTTGGCAGACTTCACCTTTTAGTCCATAACTATAATTTATCATCATCTACAGTTAAAAAGTGACAACTGCAAAAAATATTTAAATTACTTTTAAACGATCTTATTTACACATGGTACACTGCCTATCATAATCTGTTTTTTACACTTGCCAAAATCCTATTGCTTACCAGTTACTTCTTGAAATTTAGCACTTTTATAAAGCAAAATTCCTATCTTGCCACATTGTACAAAGTTTTAAACTTAAAAAGAATTTATTTAAAATCGTTGATCTTTGGGGCTGGAGCAATAGCACAGCGGGTAGAGTGTTTGCCTTGCATGCAGCCGACCCGGATTCAATTCCCAGCATCCCATATGGTCCCCTGAGCACCGCCAGGAGTAACTCCTGAGTGCAGAGCCAGGAGTAACCCCTGTGCATCACCACGTGCGACCCAAAAAGCAAAGATAAATAAATAAATAAAATAAAATCGTTGATCTTTTTGAAATATACTACCTTTAACTTTAATATGCTTTTAACAAATATTCAGTAAAATAATAATTTGTATTTTAAACATACATAGTATAATTACATTTTAAAAGACTTTAGTTTCTCAAACTATGAAAATAAAAAAATCTATAAGCATATTTCAAGGTATACTGTTGATCAAAATAATACATATTAAATACTATACAATTAAGACATATGAATCATTAACATTATTGAACTTACCAGAATGAGTTTTTCAAAATAGCCAATTTCTAGATCAGAGAACTGAAATTTCTTACCAATAACACTATATAATCATTCCTTTCAATTGCTGATATTTCTAGCGCTAATTCTTAATTTTAAAAAGATAAAAAAGCTAAGTATAAAAATGTATTCAAATGAAAATTTTCAGCAAAAGAGTTGATTCTTTTTGAACTGCTCTCAAAATGACAAAAACAAATATAGGATTTCTTAATTCACTGATTTTATGGGAAAAACGGGTTTCCAGAAAAGATAGTCTTCTGCTATCTGACTGCCTAACTGGTAGAACTCCTAATACTTGATTAAGTCATATCTAGGGTAGCTCACTGAAGTCCCAATTCCAAGTGCATGCCTGAATCTTGATTTTATCTGAACAGCAAGGAGCTTATAGGCTATTGTGCTTAACCAAACCCTTCCTTGCATTTACAATGAACTTGATTTTTTGTGTGTGAGAGTGAAAATAGCAGCACGGGACAAACTGAAGATATCAGGAACAGTATTTTTTTAAAAGTTAAATTTTGAACAGTTATGTATTGTTTGCACATCATACAATTCCTAAGAACCACCAAAACTAGAGTCAGTAGTTAATCTAGAATTAAAGTTAGATCTCAAGATGAGATGGCCTCAACAGACATAAAAATCCCCAAACCTCTGAACTATTTTTGCTTTAAAGCTGTTTCTCATGAGCTGTAACAATAGCAACGTAACAGTGTGTGTGTAAGGATTTTCTAAGGTTGGTGCCAGGGCACAGCACCAGCACCAATCCACCTGAGAAATGTTTTCCCAGCAATACGGTATTTGTGATCCTTGCATCAACAACAAACACATGTGACCTCTACTAGAATATAATTGGAGATGTGCCAGCATCACAATTAAGTGCAAGATTCTGAATTTGACAGAAAGAATGAAAGAAAAAGGATGAGGGGGCAAATTCTACAACTCAAGTAAAACTTTAAGGAGATAGCTCAAGGTCCTAGATGGCAGAATTTGAATGTGGGAGATGTGGATTCTATGACCCACATGGTCCCCGAGCATCCCTGAGCACTGAGCTGGCAGTACCCTCTGAACACAGTTAGGTGCGGTACAAAAACAAATGAGAAAGACTTCAAGCAAAGCAAGTCTGAGAAAAAAAAAAAAAGACTTAAATTGTGTTCAAAATTTACAAAGTTTAGTATAAAAAATTACAAAATTCTAAGGATGAAAGGAATCTGCCACAACATCATGCACCCAGCAGTTGAACTTCCTCTCCTGCCCGTAGATAACTTTCAAATGTTTTGTTATGTCTGTAACATATACTTGTGGGAGTTTAAAAATTGAAACCATTTAAGACTGTCAGAACACAAGTATTAATGAAGAACAGAGTAAGTGCACCCACTTTGTTTTGTGATTTGAGGATTTTATTGATACTTTAACATACCTAACATCTTTATGAATCGTGGGGTTTGGTTGTGTTTTGGGGCTTTTGTTTGTCTGTTTTGGGGTCATACCCAGTGGTGCTCAGGATTTATTCTTCACAGGGCTCTGGGGACCGTATGGAATGCCAAGGATTGAACCCAGGTCAGCCACATACAAGGCAAGTGCCTTTCCCACTGTTCTATGGCAACACAGGCAGGACTGTAAATATTATTTTGTTTTCAGACGCTAGGATGACCTTCTGCAATTCAAAAGCAATTCTATGTTTACAGCTGAAATAGATGTCAAAATACATTTCAATAATCAACTTTACCCACCAAACCACCTCACTCTTAAAATCATCTATACAATTATTTACTTAAAAAGAGTAAAACAATTTTTGATCTCCCAACTGCAGTAACCAAAAACTTAACACTTCCAATCAGCTCCTAACAATAAGAATGACATAATATAACTTCATGAATACATGGAAATTTTACAAGGATACCAGTTAAATTTTAACAAAGCTCTACTCAATACCCCATTTTATCACTTCCCATCTTGAACTTTCTCTTATAATACATGCTTTTGTTTCTGTGTTTAGGCGTAAGGAAAACCATTGTATCCAATATACACCAAACTCAGACTGTATTTACATTTGTAAAGTACAGTCTTTGTAAAATTATACCTTTTTGTATGTTACAAAACAATGTGAGAGCCAAGCCGTAACAATTAAAAAAGATAATGTAATTATCTGCCTTAGGAGCAATATTAATGATATTAAGAATTCTATCATACTTGAATATATTTAATATCACTAAAGTTCGGGACCATTTAAAACTCAATCTTCTCTATGTAGAAAAGCTGTCATTAGACAAAAGGCTTTGAGCACAAGTATACAATAAATAAAACAATTTCTTTTCTTTTCCTCTTTTTTTTTTTTTGGTCACACCCGGCAATGCACAAGGGTTACTCCTGGCTCTGCACTCAGGAATTACTCCCGGCAGCACTCAGGAGACCATATGGGATGCTGGGAATCGAACCCAGGTCGGCTAATGCAAGGCAAACGCCCTACCTCCTATGCTATCACTCCGACCCCTAAAACAATTTCTTTTGTCTTTATAAAAAAAAAAAATAAATAAAATGTGTCAAAAATATTACCCGTGATGTTACTGGGCCCGCTCAAGCATATCGATGAACAATGGGAGGACAGTATGAACATAAATAGCTGGTTTTTAAATTGTCTTATATAAATAAGGAACTTTTATTTATTGAAGCTACTTTGAGCTTAAAACTTCTACACTTCCCCTTACATCATCTTCATGTGACTTCAAAATTCCCTATCCAAGGACTGCATTATGAAGTTTTAATTGCTAGACTGATTTCAAAACTTTACCATCTTCTATGAAAAATGTAGCAAACAAGAGTGAATAGTAGATAAGACTACCATGATAAAACTAAACCTCCAGACTACCCAAAGCTATCAGAAACAAAAAGGAAATAGCTAGAAAAGACCTTTCTTTCCCAGAAAGAAAATTACCAACAATGCCTAAGGTTTGATTTCTGGCACCACATGGGCCCCAGAGCAGCAGGCTCTGAGTAAAGGTGTAGCCCCAAAGCCTGGAATCCACCCCATCATCCAAAAGTGCCAAATGAATACGCTAGAACCAGCAGCTTCTGGATAGAAGACTGTGTTAGGGCGGGAGTGAAGAAGACTACTGCGCTGTTCTAACAGTCCTACCATTCCCATGCAATCAGCATTTTTCAATATCAAGGGGGAGTGGGGAAAGCTGAATATATGGATCAATATCTAATTCTACAGTACCTGACCAAACTTATTTCTGAAGAGGAACTTCCAAAATATTTCATGGTGTTTATCATAACACTTTCTTTACCTTGGTCTGACTCTTAATTGCTTTGTCCCAGGTGCGATAACTTAAGCATTTAAGTTAAATGTTGAAGACTAATCACTTTGAGGACTCCGACACTTCTGGGACGGGGAGCAACACCACCAACTAGGGTTCTGATACCCACCCTCCCATACGGTCCCCCATGCACTGTGAGGCATGATTTCTAAGTACAGAGCCAGGAATAACTCATAAGCATCTCCAGGTATGGCCCTAAAACCAAACAAAAAAACAAAAGAAAAACAACACATTTCTACTAATCTATAGTTTGATCATGGTTAGTTTTTATATTTCTTCCACATCTGGCCCAAATGAGGAAAAGTACTAGTCACTG